CATCTCCTTATGCTAAGGATAGATGGCACATCTGCTTGTTCTAAGGATAGATGGGACATTTCCTTGTGCTAGGGATGATGGGACATCTCCTTGTGCTAGGGATGATGGCACATCTCCTTATGCTAGGGATAGATGGCACATCTCCTTGTGCTAGGGATAGATGGCACATCTCCTTGTGCTAGGGATGATGGGACATCTCCTTGTTCTAGGGATGATGGCACATCTCCTTAGGCTGGGGATAGATGCCACATCTCCTTGTGCTAGGGATAGAAGGGACATCTCCTTGTGCTAAGTATAGATTGCACATCTCCTTATGCTAGGGATAGATGGCACATCTCCTTGTTCTAAGGATAGATTGAACATCTCCTTATGCTAGGGATAGAAGGGACATCTCCAGGAGCAGAAGTGAACCAGCTATTCTTGATTATCTTTTGTGTTCGTCAACAGCTGTTGTGTTGGCTTCATGATGCAAAGAGCATGTGTGTAAGGAGTGTCGTCAGCAGCTGTTGAGTTGGCTTCATGATGCAAAGAGCATGTGTGTAAGGAGTGTCGTCAGCAGCTGTTGTGTTGGCTTCATGATGCAAAGAGCATGTGTGTAAGGAGTGTCGTCAGCAGCTGTTGTGTTGGCTTCATGATGCAAAGAGCATGTGTGTAAGGAGTGTCGTCAGCAGCTGTTGTGTTGGTTTCATGATGCAAAGAGCATGTGTGTAAGGAGTGTCGTCAGCAGCTGTTGTGTTGGTTTCATGATGCAAAGAGCATGTGTGTAAGGAGTGTCGTCAACAGCTGTTGTGTTGGCTTCATGATGCAAAGAGCCTGTGTGTAAGGAGTGTCGTCAGCAGCTGTTGAGTTGGCTTCATGATGCAAAGAGCATGTGTGTAAGGAGTGTCGTCAGCAGCTGTTGTGTTGGCTTCATGATGCAAAGAGCATGTGTGTAAGGAGTGTCGTCAGCAGCTGTTGTGTTGGCTTCATGATGCAAAGAGCATGTGTGTAAGGAGTGTCGTCAGCAGCTGTTGTGTTGGTTTCATGATGCAAAGAGCATGTGTGTAAGGAGTGTCGTCAGCAGCTGTTGTGTTGGTTTCATGATGCAAAGAGCATGTGTGTAAGGAGTGTCGTCAACAGCTGTTGTGTTGGCTTCATGATGCAAAGAGCCTGTGTGTAAGGAGTGTCGTCAGCAGCTGTTGAGTTGGCTTCATGATGCAAAGAGCATGTGTGTAAGGAGTGTCGTCAGCAGCTGTTGTGTTGGCTTCATGATGCAAAGAGCATGTGTGTAAGGAGTGTCGTCAACAGCTGTTGTGTTGGCTTCATGATGCAAAGAGCCTGTGTGTAAGGAGGAGCGTCAAGAGGCTCGATAGTTTGCCTATTGTTCCTTCGTGTTTATGCAGAATACCTTTAATAGCGCTTTCAGGGTGTCTTTGTAGCCATTACCCTGACCACCAGCATGTCCCCTGCAATACTCAAGCTGGCCATAAAATAATCTCTTGGATAAATAGTCATCTGACATTCTGACAACATGTCCCGCCCAGGGTAGCTGGGACTGCATAAAATGGCAGAAATGCTGGGCATACCTTGCCTGTGCGAGTACCTCCTCGGTGTCTTGGACCTTGTCTTGATGCTGGGGATTTGTCTGGGCTGGTCGTGTGAAAGTGGTTTATCTTTCTTGCATGGCGTTGATAGACATTTCAAAATAATAGAGTAGCGTAGGAACCACACAAACATGGTAAAATTTTATTTTGGGTGCTGATGCCTCTCCTGGTCTCAATAACATTGCACCACAAAGGGAGGCCGTTTCAAAGCATTGTAGTGGGCAAATCTGGGACATTTCCAATTATAAAAGTGCGCACCAATTTAAATGAAAACTGACATGGATCAATTTGCGCATTGACGTTCATTTATTAAGCGGAAATCTCTGTAAAACATTGCTGTGAAGCTCTTCACAATAAAATACATTCTTTTAATTTCTTGACTTAAAGTTGGGTAAAGCTATCAGTGTAAAGGTAAGAGGTTTTCTAGTCAAAACAATCAAACACACACACACACTTTTTCCACCACCACCCAAACAAAAACCATATTCTTTGTGTTAGGAGGACATTTAAAATGATCCAAAATGGCGCCTGATTCACTGCTGAGCCAGTGTGAGTCAATGGAGGGCAATTTTGCAATAATTGGCGCATATTTTAAGAAGAAGAAAAGAATTCTAACTCCACTTGATTGGTATACCCGATACAATTCAATTTAAAACCAATCCAAGCTGTAATGGCCGCACTGTCAAAGAAGCTTTAAAATATTATTAGCCTCTTGATGTCCAAAGACAAGAAAGTTGCCAATTTAGGATGCTTACTCACTCATGGGAGTTGCTTAGTCGTCTTGACTAAGTCTCGCCACTGGATCAAAATAGTCAGGGACGAGAGAGAGAGTGAGGCTGGGGATTTTGCGAAACTCTCCCTCCCTTTAACTTAAATCAAAATAAAGTGCATGTCAAGGGTCAAGGCTGTTACAGTTACCTCTAGGTGTCTTAAGCTACTCTATTTGCGATCCCCTTTGTTCAGCTTAATGGAGGAGGGAGGTCGAAAAAATGCAGATCGACCCCGATTCAACTAAACCCAAAACAAATTGACCTTACGCGCGGGAAAGCTTTCCAAGCACAAATTTAATAATTATTTATTTATTTATTTAGGCATTTTTATATAGCGCTTACCTTAAAGCTCTAAGCGCTTTACAATTATTGAAAACATGTAAACTAACTACAATAAAAATGAGACATTAGGATAGTAACTACTATACTATAGAAACAATTAAAATGGCTATAAAACGAGGACACTTTGGCACGTTTTGGCCTATACTACAGGATTAACCCGAGACAGAAAATGAGGCAGGGCAAGGAGGGTGCATCACAGGTCATAGGCGGACCTAAACAGATGGGTTTTAAGGGACTTTTTTTAAAAGTGTACGAGGTTTCACAATGACGGATGTGGAAGGGGAGCTGGTTCCAGAACGTGGGCCCATGGAAGTAGAAGGAGCGTTCACCGATGATCTTAGTTTTGGTTCTTGGGATTGAGAGGGTTCTATTGTCAATGGAAGAGCGTAGTTGTCTTGTGGGGATGTAAGGAACCAACAGTTCAGAGAGATGACAGGAAAGTGAGACTGGCAAGCCACCTGGAGTACTCACCGTTGAATATAGTCTTGGTAGTCTTCGCACGCAGAAGACGAACAACAAGCTATTTAAACAGCGAATGTACGTCACGGTTTGGTCAATATAATAATCAGGAGAACAAAAAAAGTTATTAATGTCCCAGAATGAATACTGCTTGTTAGTTTTGCCTACCTATCTGTAAAAAACAAAAACAACATACTATCACTATTTACTGATCTACAAACTCAGGAAAATATTGACACCTATTTAATTTATATTATTTGTTTTAACAGATTGTTATTATTTATTTTTAATGTATTTTCAGATCAGCTGCTGTAAACGACAGACCACGCCCATCAGCGCCATCGACGCTTAAAAAGCAAGAACATAAACAAACAAAACAATCCCAAAAACAAACGTATCCAACATCCGGTAGAAAACTCAACTTAAATACCGTCTAAGTAAAAATTTAAGGAAACCGACGGAAAAGCATCGGAACACGGCAGCTTCCAAGACGCCATGCCCGATGCAGGTTCAGCCGAGGTGGCCGACATCCCGGGAGAGTTCGTCCACATCATCTTGACGTTTGTCCAACAGCTGCTTCTCCTGGTCATCGTGTCCATGAAGGGCATCGCGACGTTCATCCTGGGCTTCCTTGATGCAATCGTTTCCTACATGACTAGGGTGTATTCCTAGTTCATGGGCCGGCCAGTCTTCGTGTGTTGTTTCGTGTTGAAATAACTCGTGGCAATTTTTGTACTCTTTATCTGAAATCATTCCCCACTGTCTCTCCCTTGTTCACCAACACTTGCTTCTAGACTAGGGGGAGTAATATTATTTTGTTTTCGTCTCAGACGACGTAAGAGGTTTGAGGCTATTGTTTTCATATGCAACCAAGTGTGCCTCCAAATATGCCTCCGTTTTGTCGTTTGGTGGAAATATGGTCATGAGTAATTCCCTGTTTAGCGTGAATCAAGTCAAATTACGTTACGCCCTCTTATTCAAACGATTTTTTTAGTTATCCCAAGTAAGGACTAAAATTTTTTTTTATTTGACTTCACCGATTTCAATAGAATTCAACAATTTCGATGGAATCCAATGAAATCGCGTCCTCCATTGTTGGCATTGCTCAGAGGAAAGAAAGAAAGCCATTTTCCCGACTGATGGCTGCAGGGGAAATTATAATGTTACAAAAAAAGTTTATGTCGTCTCACTTGTGTCAAGCAACCGGTAGGTGGGCTACCAGCGTCACTAAAACCACTCACATAAATAAAGGTTAACTTCTTTAAATTATATACTCAGGTGAAATAAACCATGATAGTTAGACATTCATGTAGAAGATTGTTACGCACACTAATTCAATAAAGAACGCCCAGCCAACTGAACTAAACACAATCTGTTCTAAGCCCCCCCCCCCACCCCAAACCAACTGCCTCAAAATGTCTCACCTTCACCTGCTGTCACTCGACTACAATGGGACGCTACTAGCTTATTCACCACGTCATCACCAGCCACTGAGTAACTGTTTACATAGCTTCAGTCTCGCGGTGAACTCTCTCCAATAGACCTACAGTCAATATGCTCCTGGAATGAGTCACATCGTTGTACCCCCCCCTCCCCCTTTCCTTCCCAGCAACCAACGAGGATCAATAGAGCAGTCATAACCTCAAAACAAAATTGCCACGAAAAAAGATTTGGAATAAAATAACAGCACGATGCGGTAATATTATAATGGCTTAGCTAAGACTTCTCCATCACGAAACACAAAACAGCAATTACTTTGAAATAGCAAGGTTTCATTCTCGTGTGGTGAATAGAAATGAAAAATACCAAGCCATAAAGAAGAGTTAAGGGGGGGGGGGGGGGGGGGGGGGGAATAGACCGAGCAACAAATTACGATGGATACAAAAAACTGACATAGTCTACCGGCAGTGAGACCAGCTTCGTGTTCGATTTTTCTCTAGCATGCCTCCACGGGCTGCGCCTGCGCTAAATCAATGAAACGCCATCAGTAAGATGCAGCCTCATAGACGCATACTGTCGTGGTGGTTACTAGCATGTGTGTGTCTACTCAAAAGAACATTCTTGAAAACTGATGTGTAGCTTGGCAGTCAGGTCAACTCATGTGAATGATTAGTTAACCAGCGTATTCTTGAATCTTTTAAGAAAGTTCCACTGACGTACTTCCCTATTTGAAAAAAAAAAGTATTATTTTGATAAGGAATATATTTTTATACTATGAATTTGCTCATTCTAAATGTTAAATAAATACCTCCGATCCCTGTAAGTGGATTCTCCAGGCCACATTTATTAGCCTCTATTATTGTTAATTCCCATGAAATGAATAATAAAACAAACAAAAAAGGGTCAAACAAATATTAAAGAGACAAACATATCTGTCGAATCCTCAAAAATCATAACTCAAACATCAGGCTATAAAACCAATATACATTGCTATAGTATTAATCATCTCTATGAATTGAACAGCACGTGCTAAAAGGCACACCACTAAAAAAATATCCAGCCCAGAAACATGAATGACCCTGTGTAGTGTTGTCAATCAATTTTAAGGAAACCGCGAGCCTTTACTGAAGCTCTAAGTTTCTTTAAATTAAAGGAATGCCTTTTCCCTGCTCTGTGACACCAATTAAACGTGTATTATTTCAGAATGGAGTAGAAATTTCTAATAAAAGATATAAATTTACCAAATAAATTGACCATGTTGAACAACTGAAACCATGTTCTTATTCATTTCATTGTAGCTGTTTGTTTGTTTGTTTGTTTGTTTGTTTTTTGTTTTTTTTTGGGTGTTTTTTTAACGTAATAAGTTAAGTATAGCTTTCCAACTTAGCCCGTGACGACATCCGTAAGGTAAATAATTTGCGTGTTTATTTTTTCGTATTTGTGTCCTTATTTATTTTTGCTATCTGGTCGTGCATACAGACCACAAAAATATGATCAATGTTAAAAAGTATGGATAACATTTTTATATTATGCCAATCTTTCCCGTCACACATTTTAATTTAACTTTAACCTCCCGTCAACTTGTTTGGTTGGGACGCTACAGAATATATGCTACGATGACCATCAAAGGAAACATGGATTGGAAGATTAAAAACGATTTGAAAATGTCGCATCATTAACCAACAGCATAATGAAAACGGCAGACAGGTTTGCTAGCCTCATCACTGCCTCATACAACCTTCTTTTGCTAGCCTCATCACTGCCTCATAAAACCTGCTTTTGCTAGCCTCATCACTGCCTCATACAACCTGCGTTTGCTAGCCTCATAACTGTCTCATACAACCTGCTTTTGCGGGGCTGGATCGCAGCGTGGCAGTCACCAATGGAAGAAAATTCTATAAGACATGGTGAGAAGTTCCCTTGCCAAACACTGTAGGATTGGTTATCCCTGATATACATGCCAAAACGACCCAAACATGCACCCTTGGATTATGGTTTACAGACAGACGTTTTTGGGGGGCCATTGTCATATATCCTCCCAAGAGCTGCAGTGTCTTCGGCTTAAAGGACTTTCTGGTAATACTACCTGATTCATGCACTAACTTACATATTCTGGTGAATGCGTGTCGTCTCTTTCTTTAAAGCCCCGGCCATCACTGTGGCAACTGACTCCATCGGTAGGGCCGTACCAATGTAACATTTTTATTAACATAGGACTGGCCTAACCCAAGATAAAGCTTGGGGCACGAAGCCAACAGGCACGCAACCTTCTCTGGGACCAGTGCGCAATGCTGGCAGCTCGGGCCCCTGTTTTTGTCGAATATGTGAAAGTAAGAGTTTGTAAGGCAGTGCCCCGTTCTCCTTTGGGTCAACAGACTCTGTTTTCTGCGACCCCATTTCCAACATGGATCTGTCTTACTAGAGTAGGGCATATTAGCATGTATACCTCTGACCTTTGTATCGTCTGCCCACTGCCCGTACCATTGTGTCCTAAACTGGTCATGCACTAAATGTCTCAAAACATGTTGCTTTGTTTCTAATCTGTTTCATGCTATACCAACTGCTTACTCAACCGCTTTTGAGTTAGTTGGTAAGCACATAAAAAAACAGAATTATTTTAAAATATACATTACAGTCCGGTTAAAAGACAATAATACAATTCTCAAAGTTATAATCGTAAATGGTAGAGTTCGGTGGTTGAAAAAAAACATCTCCCTATAAAGCTGACATCGCTCATCACAAAAAATAATATTTTGTTTAAACCACGAATGAATCACCATCTGCTGTATCCATAGACCAAGTGTTTTATTCAATGTGTTCAACAAACCAGTGGCACTCACTGGCTGTATCCATAGGCCAAGTGTTTTATTCAATGTGTTCAACAAACCAGTGGCACTCACTGGCTGTATCCATAGGCCAAGTGTTTATTTCAATGTGTTCAACAAACCACTGGCACTCACTGGCTGTATCCATAGGCCAAGTGTTTTATTCAATGTGTCCAACAAACCACTGGCACTCACTGGCTGTATCCATAGGCCAAGTGTTTTATTCAATGTGTTCAACAAACCACTGGCACTCACTGGCTGTATCCATAGGCCAAGGGTTTCATTCAATGTGTCCAACAAACCACTGGCACTCACTGGCTGTATCCATAGGCCAAGTGTTTAATTCAATGTGTTCAACAAACCACGGACACTCATTATGACATGGGGATCCACCCGGGTAACATGTAGTCTTCGAAATTGGCGTCATAGCGACTCCTCGCTTTGGAGTCCTTCTCCACAAAGTCCGCGTAGTACACAACTTTGCCTTTGGCCATGAAGGCGGCCCACCACGACAAGGATCCCGTGCTGATAATGGAATGGTCCAACAGACCCAGTACCGTCAATTCAACGGATGGATCGTGACGCCTGATCAGCATGACGCCCGGCAGACCGTCCAAGTTGCTCTTGCACCACGCGTGGTCATCGGATACCACTAAAAACGCCACCGAGCCGCCCAGTAGATCCCGGAAGTACTTCATGGCTTTCAGGAAGTATTCCCTCGGCGCGACCCTGTATCCCTGGTCAACTGAGCTCCAGTGCAGTTTGTCGCCCCTCCTCACGTGCACGCCCACGACAGCTGTGTCCGTCGTGGTGCTGTTGTGAATCAGCAAGGCTTTCTCTACGATGCGTTTGGCCTGGTGCACGATCCCGTCGTGAAACTGCACCTCTTTCCGAATCGAATCGAAATTATCCTTGAAGTATTTCCAGCTGTGGAGCGAGCCTTCTATCTCGTAGTTCTTGTTGATTTCCAAGTTCACCAAGCTTTCGTCCATCCGGCAGCACGCGGACTCGACCAGCCGCGCGACGCTCCGGCACTGGCTTTTGTTGATCTTAAATTTCGGCGCCCTCAGAAGGTGCGCCAGAGTCGTGTTCCCCCGGGCGACCAACAAGCGGCTCTGGCGCTGGGCGATGCCGAGGAGAGAAGCGTACTGGAAGAGAGTGCTGCCCAGGCCTCCTTCAAATTTGTGGCAAATGATGTGCTGGCCACTGTGGAGTTAGAAAATAAAATAAATTGAAGGACTGCATTCAAGCTGTGTAAATGAAATTGGAAGATCAAAGCATGCTGAAGCTTGAATCAAGAGACATTTTGCGTTAACGGTGCTCTGTTTCTTGTTGTATTTTCAATTGCAGAAGAAGTCTCTAAGCCGAAACTTTCATATCTTGTTGTCCTGTCTATTGGTTCAAGCTTCAACACACCTTGGGAATGTTACCAAGATTTTGGGAATTCACTACCCCATTTAGGACAAAAACTCACCCTTTAAAAAAATTCCCAAGATTTAAATAAAAAAACTCATTAATCTTCATGTTCTTGGGAAATCTTGGGAAATATTTTGACAAAATCTCTGGAATTTTAAGAGAAAAAAGAGTGGTTGGCCTGCTCCAACATACCTTGTTCTATTATTGGAGTTAAAAAGTAGGTTAGTGTGTGGAATCAAGATAGAATAAAAAAAAATTCAATCACGAGACATGAAGGAGGGCACGTGGTGAGATATTATTTTAAAAAAAATATATATATAAGAAGTTGTTGATGAATTCTTGAATGTTCTTCGAAGTGTACTCAATAAGTGTTTTATGTGGCCCCCCCCCCCCCTTCAACTTTGACGGATGGTGGAGACTAGAATTTATTTTTTTTAAATGAATGTATGTATTTGTACGTGTATGGGGGGGGGGTGAGGTGAGTCTATATCTTAAAACCATTTTAAGTGAGTATGTTTTAATCTAATCAATATCGATGACAAATCTCAGAAACCTGTATGTCCTGTCGGATTTTGGTAAAATCCTCGTGTCGCTGGGAATATCTCCTTCCGGGTCAAAGTTCTCCAGAAACACCGGTAGTGACAGTTTGTATACAACAATCGTCGTCACAATAAATAAAAGACAGCTTCCACATCCTGAAAGCATAAAAAAAAAAAAAAAGAAAAAAAGAAAATAAAGGAAAATAGTTAATGTAAAGAAAAAAAAAATGGAATATCTCCTTCCGGGTCAAAGTTCTCCAGAAACACCGGTAGTGACAGTTTGTATACAAAAATCGTCGTAACAATAAATAAAAGACAGCTTCCACATCCTGAAAGCATAAAAAAAAAAAAAAAGAAAAAAAGAAAATAAATGAAAATAGTTAATGTAACGTAAAGAGTAAGAGTATCGGGGGCCTTCCATAGATAGATGACTCGATATTTTTTTTGGACAGTGATTAACATCTCCCACCGTAACAATCTGTCATAAATAGCAGACACACAGACTCCCACTCCCATATCACGTCATAACGGTTACCTGAAATTTGCTCGAAAGAAATTTCGTTGACGGTAAATTGATCGACGGAAATTTGATCTAACGGAAATTTGATCGAATCGTATTTTCAGTTCACGCGTTAAAATTATTTTCGTCAAATTTCTTTTTGAACGCATCATACTATATAGTCAAACAAAATAATGCGTTAAAAATATTTCCTTGAAGCAAAATTTTAACGTAAAAAACTAAAAAAAAAGAATCGACCAGATTTCCTTTCGATCAAATTACCGTCGATAAATTTACCGTCGACAAAATTTCTTTCGATCAAATTTTCAGATACGCGTCATAACATCCCACTTCCCAACTAAACGTTAAAGATTGTTTAAGAATGAACAACGCATTCAAAGGTCATCTAAAGCATTCTTCACAAACCCGCACGAATAGCGTGACTGACGTCATTTAGGGACCCCCCCCCCCCCCGCCGAAAGTTAATTGAGATTTTAAAATTCATCTCGCATTATATTATTAGTATGCACAAGCAATGCTAGAGTGACATCTTCTGACAGGATGCATCCATCACAAAAGAAAGTTAAACATCACTTTCAATTTCAATTTTTTTTTTTTTTTTTGAATGATAAACAAATTTTTTTTTAAATGCGTGACATTAAATGTGATCTTTACCCCCAAACCCCCACCATGTCACAAACTGTCACACTTCCTTCGACTCCCCCCCCCCACCCCTCCGGAGCGTGACCTACTTTATGGATGACCCCCATTGTGTGTGTGAAGGAGTCGGTACATTTAATTTACTCTAGAATCAATATTTCCATGGCAATTATTTAAGCATCAATTGAAAAAGTGGTTTAATTAACAAAAAAAACAACAGACGAATCGCACTATGCTCATTATAAAACATTGTTACTACTCGTATAAAGTAAGATTTATATGCCCTTCTACTCCGCCCATGGGGCATAAGCCGTCTTCAAGGGGGGTTTTCATTCATCTGAGGGTCAGTGATTTACTCTCTTGTGCTTCCACGTCGTGTAAAGTGTAAGTTAATCCCGTACTTCGTCCCAATGTTTGTGTGACCGCCTCTTGCACGCGGTCAGTAACACTCGTATCAAACTTAATAAAAGTAATTGACACAAGTTCAAGCATTTTTTGCTGTACACAAAGTGTAACTGATGGGTTGATCTATGAAATGAAAATCACTATCAATCAAATCTTATAATTAAATTAATTAATATTTTAATCAAGAGTGACCCACCTTTGCACTTGGCGCCCATCGTCCTATGCCACCATTTGATTGGTCAATCATAGATATTACAAAATCCTCAACGCCTTTTGAAACGATATCTCACCATCATTTCACCGTGTTCAAAAAACCGCTTTGTTTGTGATGACTGTTGGATCTCACCATTAGGATTCCCTCAGTTTGACACAGACAGTTCCACTTCGATGTGTAAAATCAATCTCAGATGAACTAAATCACGATAAACGTTTGTACTACATTCTTGGGTGTATTTATTATTGCTTGTTTTTGTTGTTTCTTGTTTTGTTTTTTTAATGACTTGGGCTATACATATAAGAAAATCCTTGTAAAAAATATCTACTTGAATTGAAACATGTGCTCCGATCAAATTTATTCTCCAACTTTGAACGAACAGTCAGTGGGGTAAGTCAAATTCATGACGTAAAAACTCGGATGTCTTCGGGTAGGAGTCGGAGGGAACAAAAGTTGTTAAACATCGGATGCATGAAACCTGGAAACACGTCCTTGGCGGAATCAAATGAGCAGATTTGACCCAACTCCTCGGGCGTGGCAGGCTCGAAGGGTGGGTGAGGTGTAGGAGGAGGGGGAGAGGTGTGGTTTTTTCGATTGACACGATGACAGAGCCAACGTGGCAATTTGCATCGACTGACGAGTCAGGGTGACGGGATGTTGTGGCTTTGTTGGGAACGTTTGCTCTGCTGCCGCATGAGAAAATGTGCGCTCTTGAGCAGAGCCATGTAAAAGTGGGTGGGCGAAGTCGTGCATTGCCCCGTGAACCAACTTTAATGTGAGGCGCCAAAATTGTTTACAGATTGTCAATAAAACAATAAAATAGGTCCGTCAGGGCTGGCGCTAGGGGTGGTGAACACGACCGCCTAAGGCCCCGCGCTTGTGGGGGGCCCCACGCATCATCCGTATACTATTATTCCCAGGTTGGATGTTGTCCACCCTGATTGCACACCGTGATGCGCTCTCATTCGCTGCTTCCCGGTCCAAATGCAAGCAAAAGAACATCGACACCTCCTGCTAAAATTTGGCAATGATTATAAACCTAGAACTGTGAAGATAATGAAAAACTAGTTTATGCTGAAATATCAGATAAGGACACTGATCCTAAAGGCTTTATTGTGACATTGTAAAAAGTATTAGGGTACATGGGCCATGTGGGCAGAGGAACCCTCATAGTCCGTGAATCTGGAATTTATTATTATAGATTATGCACCTCTTTACACGCGCCACGTGGTTGTGTTGCCCCAGTCCCCAGCTAGTGATGTTATTTTTTATCACTAGAAGATATCACCCGATGTTATCGAGATAATATTGGCCGGCACTGGATGATAATTTCCACCTGCTGTTGCAAAAACTCTTCACAATTCCGTAATTTTAAATAAACATTACTAATGTAATGATGTTTACGTTTCTAACATCATCAACAGGTTTGATAATTATTTATCTGCTATATATTTATGCGCCAACCCTATTCCGTGGCATGAGCTATTGCAATATTTGGCAGAATCAATCCGCAGCTCTGTTTTGGGACAGGAGATATATCACTTGAGAAACAAAGTTCAAGGTCTGTAGCGCAGCAGTCCTCTCGACCTTGCTCTACGGATGTGAAACGTAGACAGTCTACCAGCGTCACGCCAAGAAACTAAACCATTTTCACGCAACCTGCCTCAGGAAACTCCTCGGCATCAGGTGGCAAGACAAAGTTCCTGACATGGAGGTCCTCGCCAGAGCGAACCTACCAAGCATCTTCACCACCCTGATGCAGTCTCAACTCCGTTGGATGAGGCACGTAGCCCGCATGGAAGACAACCGGCTCCCTAAACAGATATTCATCGGAGAACACACGATAGGCAAGCGCTCCCAATGACGTAAAAAAAAAATAGCGTTACAAAGACTCACTGAAAGCGGCAATAAAAGCTTTCATCATCAACCCTATTGGATGGGTACAGACAGCCCAGGACAGAGCCAGGTGTAGATCAGCTGCCAAGAAGGGGGCTCAATTTCATGAAGCCAGTAGGATAGCCACAGGTGAGAAACGCAGGCTGGCCCGAAAGAGCAACCATATATCACCGACGACAGCCAATATCCCCTTCCCGCGGTGCCAGAAATTATTCCGAGCAGGAATCGGACTGGAAAGCCACCTACGAACTCATCGTGACGACCCCCCCCCCCAACAGTATGACTAGATGGTCCAAGTTGATGTTGACGGACGAACAACACAACAACACACACCCTACCCCTTCTCGAGCCCCTAAAATTACAATTATTTCTTTCTGTAAACATTACCTAAAATTACCAAATTGTTACGCACTGACTTGTATTGGGAGAAATTAATCTCCTATTTTAATTTTAATTGGCTCGTTGTAAACAGTGCCTAACAAAGGACGATACCATATAATCAACAATATTAAATATACGACCCAAAACAGTTTCTAGTTACAATTAATTAAGATTTATTATGTCTTAAGATAATTACAAAATAAAATAAAATAAAATTACAATCTTCAACTTACAGTATGGTAGATCTCGTACCGGTACACAGTTAATACAATTAGAAATAATGATGCCAATAAATAATGCGAAATAAACACATATAAGTAGGAGCACACAAATACACAAAGAATAAAACACGCCTCGTAATGTTAAGAGAATCTATCTGAAAATCTCCGACCCTCGTCGTGCCTGTCAATCCCTTATATAGGTGGGTCTACCGACGCCCAAGCCCTGCCTTCGAGAAATTTCGAGAAAAATCCCAATCATTCTACCAAATACTATTTGGAACAGATTAATTATTTTTATTCGTTGGCGGCGTAAACAAGAATACATCAAAGACCTAAGCCACACCCCTTTGTGAACACAGCGTCTCATGCGGGGTCAATCAGAGGGCACGCACGAGAAATATTATGTAAACAAGCTCTCTATAACAAAATCTAAATGATCACTAATTAAATCATTATTGTCAGTAAAGGAGTGCATTGACGGCTGATATCTACGCTTGAGAAATACTTTAGACGGCATGTGTTTTTAAATTGTTCATTGTTGGGCCTACGCTACCAATTTTCGTGCCCATAAACGAATAACTATTTTATCTAAAGAAGAATTTCTTTCTCCTATAAAATTGGTGAAAACGTAATCATAAATTTACAACAAAATCCATCCCATCCCTGTGGCGCTACAGCTTTGGCTTTGGCCTGCCTCACTACTCCCTCCACTCAGACCTACCTGATGCTTTTCTTTTCCATGCTTGGACTTTCAGTTGTTGTAGATCTTTTTCCACATCATCCATCCACCTAAGCCTAGGTCTGCCTTTGAGCCTCTTCCCTCTGCGGTATTGGGGATGCACGCTCTTCGCCCCTCTGTCATTTGGCATTCTCTCTGTCCTGCCCAGCGTGGCCTGCCCCTTTTTATTTCTGCTACAATCGTGGTATCCTGATATAGACTGTATATAATTCATGGTTGGTTCGTATTCTCCATCCATATTCATCCTTTGTTGGTCCATATATTTTCCTGAGAACTTTCCTCTCCCATGTGTTTAATGGGTTTTCTGCCTTTTTTGCTAGGGTCCAAGTTTCACTTGCATATGTTACAACTGGTCTGATCACAGTTTTATAAATAGTTTTCCTTGTTTCTCTTGTAATGTTTTTACTTTTGAGTATTTTCTGACTATTGAAGTATGCCCTATTACCGGTTGATATTCTTTCTTTTACTCCTGTTAGTAATTCGTTTCTTTCATTTAATAAAGATCCTAGGTATTTGAATTGATTCACTTTTTCAAAAGTCTGGTTTCTAATTTTAATTGCTTCATCTGTTTGTTCTTCTCTTATCATGGTAATGTATTTTTTTAATTTTTTTTTGGTTGTTAACTTCCAGCCCTGCTTGTAGTGATGGGTCTTCTAATTCAATAAATCCTTTATTTGCAACAAAAACGCTATTTTTTAATATATTTTATATTAACAAAATTTGATATACTGATATCTTCATTAAAAATTTAACCAAGCTTTAGCCATTATTTTGAACTATATTATCGGAAAATCGTTTTTTTTTTAAAAGGAAAGAATTCTTTAATCTAAAGAAGAATCTCTTAACCGTTTTTCACGACTGTAACAGCCGTGAGTGTCTTTTTTTAAAACAGATATGTTATTAATCTCATAACAATGCACACCCACTTTATTTTTCGCAAAGTAAAAACAAAAATATGTTTTATTTTTTTTGTTAAAAATCTTAACCCATCTCTATTTTGAAAGTTAAATTTTTACTTGTGTAAACTGATTGAGGTTTGATATTCATGGGTAGGCCTATACTTATGTAAATGTACCTACGTTTTGTTAACGTCATTGATTTTCCAAACTGGTAAACATAAATTTATTTGTAAAATGAGAATATAACATCTATTTTTCACCACTGTAATATCATTGGATTTAAAGATATTGTCATCCACGTAAAAATGTACACACCCTATTTCCTACCCCCGATATATATGTATCCAATAAGGTTAATTATTTATCTATCTCATTCCGAGGCGTATCGTGTGCTGTCAATGGCAAAATGAAAGTATGGTACACTCCCCCCCCTCCCCACAATAGAGTTTAAAAAAAATAATTAATCAAACTATCCACGGGATTGTAGCCCCCTTAAAATGCTATACATTATTAATATAGTCAGGTCGTGCCTGTTCATATTTCCGCATTATTTTGTTTTACTATATATTATTGTGCGTTCAAAAAGAATTTTGACTCAAAATTTAGATCGTGTGAACTGAAAAGAGAATTCGACCAAATTTCCGTCGATCAATTTTTCCATCGAAGAAATTTCTGTCAAACAAATTTCCGGTAACCACTCAATACATTTAGGCCTGAGCCGTATCCTGGTTGACAACCATCCGTAAATTTACGAACAGTTAGTAGAAATTGAACACAAAAATATTTGTCCGTAAAAAAAAAAAAAAAAAAATCGTACAAATTAGGATCTCAAAAAATTAACATTGTGCTTGAACAAACATCATTTGAAACGAAACAAAAGGAGATTTCCCAGCATTTGTACTTTTTCTAGCTTGTTTTAATATTTTATGATCATAATAGCAGGAAAGTTACTATTCTAGTGTCTCTGGTTTTTTCCTTTTTATTTTTCTTGAGCAATTTAAATAGTTTACATATTTTTAATAATTGTAAAGCGCTTAGAGCTGTAAGGTAAGCGCTATTAAAAAAAATGCCTAAATAAATAAATAAATTCAATATTGATGAGAATAGTATAAGTTATACCATAAAATATAACATAATAAAATAGGCTCACATCAGATGGACATAAAAACGTAGTCGTACTATCATTTGAACATTTTTAGCTTCGTAAATTCGTTTTAAAAAAAAGTGTCCGTAAAATTGTGGAAATTTAGAATATTTTTGTCCTAATATTTTAATTTTTTTTTTGTTGAGTCGACAACGCTGTTTCATGTACTGTAAGTAGCAAGAAATTATCTGAGTCAGGGGATTTTTTCACCCCAGTGTTATTACGCTAAAGCGTAATTTTTTTAATGATTTATGTTTTTTTTTTTTTTTTTTTTTTTTTTTTTTTTTTTTTTTGCCCTGCAATGGTGAAATTGCCCTGCAATGGTGAAATAAAATCGGGTGGTTCATTAGATGGAAATGTTGCATTTGCACTTCAAAGTTATTTACAATTTTATTTTTTGTGAGTAATATGCCAGTTTAATAAATAATATAAAGGTACTCAATTAGTAACGTGCTTAAAATATTGAAGAGGTTAATAATAATATACATGTTAAAGAACTTTTACATGAATTAGTGTCTTAATATTACAAATCGTGAGAGTATTTTTTAATCTGACTAACAAATAATATCAAGCAGGCAACGCAAAACCTGGCACATCCTGTATAATTCATTCAACGACAGTAACCGGGCATATCTAGAACAGGTCCATTTCTCGTTGACTGAAATTTAATTTAAATAAGCCAAAAAATAAAATAATATGACGACTACTTCAACATTTCAGGGCATGAATACTGATTCAAAACCATCATCAAGGTTAGGAATATTAAATAATGTTTTAAAGGATGTTGTTTTTTAAATTAAGGAAGTACGCAGTACGGCAATTACTATTGCCTACCTTAAGTATTTTTTTTTTTAAAGCAAACAAGCCCAAACGCAGTAAGTAATGTATACACATATACTCTCAGGGAGGTGTTGTCTGAGTGGTCAGGTATGACTAAAACCCTCAACCTTTGAGAAAGTTATTATTAAATATATTATTTTGAATAATTTGTATCAATGACCACTGAAAATTTTGAAATTCAGAATTCTAAATAAAACACCAATATGTGGGTAGATACTTCGGTAAATCAAGGGAGACTACTACTTATTGTGTATCGGAAGTGGCAATCGGAGCCGAAAAATCCAAGTTTTTAATTTTCCGATGTGTGTGTCTATTTATTATTAAATGAGTACTTTTGACATATATTTGAGTTCCGTTTCCGGCCTTATATTTTGATAGACATCTTGGCCTACATTTTAATCAATTCCTTTTTCATTTACAATCAGTCAGCTTTGAGAAAATCCTTGGTAAATATAAGGCGACTTTCATCATTAAAATTAAGTCGAAGTAAAAGATTTGTCACTACCAAATTTTGTTTGCATCTGGGGAATGTATTGATCTACGTGTATGCCAATTATGTGTTACGAGAGACGCCATGTTTCTACGCGTTGCAGCAGGTCATGCAGTTCGCTCAACCTAATTTCGCCATGTGGTGGGCCACGCCCCCTTTTTAATGGCGGAAGTTGCCGATACTTAGGAAATATTAATTTATTGGCATTGTCTACACGTCCGGCGCGCTGGATGTATATCTCCCGCACTATTTGTCTGACGACCAAGTCACATGACCGCCGTAACAAAGTGGCGAGAGATATCTTGTCGGGCAGCCTTGTCACGTTGACTGCGAATGATTCAAAACTATTATTAATTTTAAAATCTATTTCTCTACCAAGTAATGTACTGAGTATCTTGAATGCAAATAATATAAAAAAAAACTTAAGTGAAAGAGCTTGTAAACATTTTTGTCTAGTTTGTTATTTGAGTTTGTGTACCAGTAATCCATAAAATAAATTTGGGGCCAGTGTGGAGTAGGCAACCAATAAAAGTAAAAGATTTCATTTTAAATTGTTTAAATTGCTACAAAATATTTAAAAACTTCTCATGAAACTACTGTTGCTGATGAACATGATAATATAAATTTAGTATAAAATATTTGTAATTAAAATGGGAAGAAAAAAAAAGGACGTATCCCCAGTATTGATCCTCAAATCATAATAACGTCAAGCGACCACTCTACCAGTAGACCACACAAGATCTACCAAAACTGCACTTCGTTCGGAATTATAAAAACTACTAGCCGTCCGGCGGTCACGTGACATGCCGCCGGACGTATATCTTGCGCACTATTTGTCCGGCGCGCCGGGCGTGTAGACACTTCGTAATTTATTACCACTATTTACATCAAAATATTTGATAACTAGTGTTTCAGAATGCATTTTGAAGACATTTAAATTGGAATGTTTTAATTTGAGCTTTAACAACCCGGTAGAGTCCATATTATAAATGATCAGAATTTATAGGCCAAAAGGACTCCTAATTTATTCAAATTACATGCACATGAAAAATTAAAAACTCGAATTCTATTGCGCCGACGCCCATTTTTCCGATACAAATTTACCAGGAGTGTCATGAAACTACTGTTGCTGATGAACATGATAATATAAATATAGTATAAAATATTTTTAATTAAAATGGGAAGAAAAAAAAACGAACTTAGGAGAAATGTTGAACTACATTCCCATTGAGTTAATTTTTTCTTTATATCAACGTTATGTAAGGAGTAAGGAAAATTGTATATCAATATAAGGCATCTTCGCATTAAAAAATTCGGTCTAAATGTTCAAAGTAGGTCTTTCATATTTAAAGTAGGCCTGCATAATTTGTTGAAGGACATGTGTGCAAAATTTCATTGAGATAGCTCATGAAACATTTTCACAATTCTCCTCAACGTTGACCTCATTATGCAAAGGTCGCACAGGCCATTTTGGATTAGTGATCCCACCCCCTTTTGAATGGCGAAAACGCTGATAATTAGGAAATATTCATTATTACCTTTATATACATCAAAATATTTGATAACTTGTGTTTCGGAATGCATTTTGAAGACATTTAAACTAGAATTTTTAAATTTGAGCTTTAAAAAGCCGGTAGAGTCCATATTATTAACGATCAGAATTGACCGTGTGCAAAAAGTCATAGAAAACCATTCACAGCCATTTGCCTAATGCTATGCCGTAGTACTACCTCAAGTTTCAATCATAAGAGTTTGACATGTTCAAAAACTATTAACACCATTGGTAAGGGAAAGCTTTAATTAATTAGTCATGTGCCAAAGTTGAAAGTTCTAAATAAGTAGATCCCAAACAACATTTTAGGGGGTGTGTTGCCTTACATAGACTATATAGCATATACCGGTAAACTGGACTCTGAAGATTTAGTAAACAGAAAAGCCATATATTAAAACATTAGTTTAACTTTATCGTTATACATAGTGCATAGTTAGATAAACTATAATTTATATATAATTTTATGACATTATTAAAATTATTTGTTAATACAGCATTAGTTCTGAAAATAAAAGTCGCATAAAATTATAATTAAAACGAGAGTTATATAGCTCCTGACGCGAACAGCGGAATTGGCTCACAGAATCTGGAGATGCAGTCCATGTTAAAAGACAAACGAGGTCGTACTTTAAAAGTCATAACTTTAAAACTACAACGGCTAAAAATGTGATCTTGGTGCTTTAATTCTTTAAAAAATTAGCTCTATTCAACTATGCCATTGGTTTATTTTTACAAAAAGTTTTAATTTTCTAATCAAAGTACCTATCCTATGTACCTACCCTAAATTAATTTTAAAACACTTCAGTGGTTACTATGACATGTATTTATTGCTTTCCAATTAGGTTGTCATGTATTTTTGGTTGTTTTAAAGGGATTTTTAATATAAAGCATTATTTAAAAAATCCTTTGATCAATAATTTTAAAAATAATTGATAGTATATTTAGCCGATGTCTGGCTAGATTTAAAAAAAAATTTCCCAGTCTCAGACCAAAAGCACGAAACGTACAGTTAAAATAAGCTGAAACTGATAAATAATTAAGTAAGAAAAATAGTAAGATTCAGAAGCATGAGCTTACAGTGGGGTCGGGGTCATAAAATGTAGGTACTTTAGTAAAAAAAAAAATATATTTTTTAAATATTACATATATTTAGAGCAAATAAATTTCAAATAAAAAAAAATTAGGACCAGAATCAACTTTTTAGGTTTAGTACTTTTTGAGATACACATTTTTAAAGTGCAAGTTTGTTAAGTATTTTTTACTATGAATGAAGCCTCCTCATTCTGCAAAGACTATATATTCTATAGTTTATATAAAGCAATGCATCCCCTTATTAATAAAATACTGTTTAAGGACAACTATAAACTTTGGCACATGGCTAATTAATTAAAGCTTTCCCTAACCAATGGTTTAATAGTTTTACACACAGCAATCTTTTATGAATGAAACTCTGAGATAGAACTAAGGTATAGCCATAAGTAGGTGACTGTGAATGGCTGGCCATGGCATTTTGTATGCAGCAAATTATAATCATTTATAGCAAGTTAAGGACTTTACCGGGTTTTTGAACCTCAAATTAATTTATTGTTTAAATTACGTCTAAGTTTATTCTAAAACACAAGTATTCAAATATTATGCTGCTTTAGTGGTAATAATTAAATATATCCTAAGTATCAGCATATTCCCCCCCATTAAAAAGAGGGTGTGGTCTAAGTGGGGTGGGTGACCTTATACCTATGCCTATGGTAATGCAGGTCACTTAGATGAGCATAACTATTGGCCGACATGTCCTACCTCAATGAGAATTGGCACACTTATACATCAATATATTTACTGAGTAAGAATTACTGTGAATTTGAGCTTCATATGAAATTTTCTTAGGGAATGATGCCTTATATTTTCCCATGAATTTCTAATTTTTTGGGGTCGATTGAAAAGGCAAAAATTTATGATGGAAATGTAGGGCAAGTTGTCCACTACTGTTTACATATGGATGAATACCACAATTTTATGACAAAATAGTCCTTTTATCAATAAAAAAACAATCACTGACCTCCAAAAGTTAAAAACTCGGATTCTTCTGCGCCAATAAAGTTAGCCAGCCCTTCCCACCCCTACAAATACTCCATACTCAAATAAATTTTTGTACTAGTAACAAGGTGAGTTGTTTTTTTTTTTAAAGTTTAAAATGATAAACCTCCAGTGTTTCTTCTCTTTTCTAATGAATTGACAACTTTGTATATTAACAATTTGCCAATGGCTGTAATATACTGACACTGATACTCAACATTGCACCCTCACCATAGGTTTTTTTTCCCCCAAATGAACTTTGACCCTCAGTCATTAAGATTGGCATTTCTCATGTCAAAGACTAAATTTGACGATCCATACAGTTAATATGAAGTATATTAAAATGAAATTTTCCATTAATTTTGTATAAAATTCGACTTACAAGTTTTTTTAAAAAATGAAAAAGAAACACATTCTTGCTTATACCCCCCAACACCAAATACAGGTGGGAAAAAAAGATGCACACTAAAAGTGTTTTTGATTAATTGAAAATCTAAGTACTGCTACCGATATGGCTTATCCAAATAACTAGGTCTTAATGCTGTATCTTTCATTTTCAAAGTTTTGTCCAAGCACCTAAACTTGTTTTTCTTTTAACTTCAGTTTTAGTTCAGGGATTTAGGGGCTACCTGGGCTGATTTGGGGTTAGCGGTAAGGCCAGCGATGTGTTCCACAGTATGTAGGTCACGTAGGTTCCCCACTCCCAGGTCAACTTCCGTCAATAGCACTGTATTCAAAAGATTTCGATAATTATTTTTGTGTTCACTTAATGCAAGTTTCTGTTTTGTTATTTTCTATTTTTGAAAGTGGAGGAGGGGTCTGCCCTCCCCAAAAGTTTGCTTTGTTTCTTATTTTGATATTTAAAGAGGGACATGGTGTCTCCCCTCCCAGAAGATATTTTTTTTTCTTATTTTGGTATTGACATGGTTTTTAAAAGAACAATTGATAGCAAATTTATGGTTGTAGTTAAATTCTTAAGAAATGTATGATTTTTTTGTGTGAATTATTTTGGGATAACTCTGTTGAGACTTTTAACTCTTTCGCTGCAGAACAACGCACACTGCGTTCATCTGCCGTTCTCAAAAGCACTCTGCGTTGTTTCAATATCATGTTTGTTTCTTGCCTATTTCTCTGTTAAACTTTTTAAGAGCTATTTTTAAATAAGACTTTTACATAGAAGAGTGGTACTTCATTGTTTATAAGCGAAACCAAGGTTTATTTGTTCTCATTTGAAGCATTATTTTAATGATTTTCTTCGCTATTTTTTTCTACTGTTGCTATGGCTACTCTAGGCCCTAGTAGGTGAGTAATTTTCCTAGACAATTAACAGCTCAAAAAGCTTTGGAATTGTTTTATACTATTTCTTTTGATAGTGAAGATGATTTATATTTAGATCCATCTGATGATTCTGATAGTAGTAGTTTTAGAGGATTTGAGTTATAGAAGTGAAGATGAGGTATGCATACATCATATGATTTGGAGAAAAAATTGTTTAGTATAATATAATGATTTACCATTTTATGGTTCTTTTCTGTAACTTATTTTATTTAAACTTAAGAAATAAGTTTACAAGCATTTAGTCCTTTCAATTATCTTTCATTTGATACCAAGTTTAGTCTTAAAAACCAAAAAATAATATTTAAAAATTTTTTTTTATAAATCCAATCTCTCACACTTTGTTGCTCTTTGAAAAAAAAATGTACATTTTTTCGATAAAAAATTTCGCAGCGAAAGAGTTAATTAGAAAATATAAAAGTGACTGAAATAAAAATGGACAGAGAGTTTTCAAGAGAACTGCCACCCCTTGGTCATATACCTTTTTCTTATTTTCAAGCAAAATAATCAATGTTATCCAGGGAGGAAATGTAGCCTGCATACCTTCATGGACATAGTTTTGAAACTTAAAATAAAGTTGTTGGGGTAGGGTGAGTGGAGCAATTTATTTCCCTTTTCCCCATTCTTGTAGATAATTGGATGCTTAAAGTCTGACTGTCACAATTTGACACGAGCCAGTCTATATAGCCTTTCATAGTAACTCTTGAATTTTGCGATTTTATCTAAATATTTTGTCCCAACCAATATTTCCACACCCTCTACCAGTGTTGAAATTTTTCAAACATGCTTGGAAGTTGTTTTTTTTTTAAATTTCAATTTTACCCTAAGTTATTTAGATTTTGTGACAGCTAAATTTCACTTAAACTTTGTTTACCTAAATAAAATGGCTTTTACATCCAGTAGCAATGGTAAGCAAAGGCTACGTGCTGAACAAGCTTCAAAACTTATAACTTCATGGTCAGAAACAAATGGAGATGATGAATTATCAAGTTAGGATGAATTTCAAAGTGATCCCTGTTGTTCAGATTCAGAAAATTTGTTTAAAAAAGATCCATCTTCTGATAACACTGACTCTGACAACAATTGGACTGAAAATGCACATTTCCTCAAGCTGGAACTAGTTCTAGCAACAAATGAAAGAGTAAAGCCCTTGTAAAAACAAGGACGAAAACAATCTGATTAATCTAGATCACCCTAATCTAGTAATCAAGATCAGGCCTGCACAACTCAGAGTTTAAGGTTGCCCGTAATACTTTATGAAAAACGTCTCTCTTATTCTTCTTATGCCCTTTTACCCCATCTGGGGCATAGACCGTCCACAAGAATTTTCCATTCATCATGGTCCTGTGCTTTGCTTCCAGGTACATCCCATATTTTTATGTGTCTGCCTCTAGCTGGCGTCTTTATATATTCTTTAGCCTTCCTCTTTTCTTTTCCCACAGGGGAAAGGGGAAAAAAAGCAAAACTTGTGCGGGCCTTAATACTTAATGAAAAACTTGTGCAGGCAGAAAGATAATAGGATAGGGGCGAAAGCTATTAAGAAAATAATAATAAAGAATATTTCGATACTTCGTGGGTGCTGGCAGGTCGCCGGCAGTATGTTGCGCAGGCCTGATCTAGACATGTGGAGTCAACAATAAAGATGCAGTATAGTGGAATGAAGTAGAAGCTTGCACTAATATCAATTATTTCCGTTTTGTACCACCACCATCTAGAATTCCTGGGGTAAACCCAGACATTATTCCAGATGGTTCATCACTTTTTTCATTTCAAGGCACTGTTCACTGATGATATCATTACAGAACTTCTAGATTCAACCAATGAATATGCAGAGAGACCTATGGAATAAAAATGGGACACATCTCTGAGATCTTTGTATTCAAACTGGTATCCAGTGACACTACTAAAAATACATAATTTTTTTTTGCAGTTATTTCATTTGGAATAAATAAATATATGCCAGGAATTAGGGACTAATGGTAATGTCATCACCGTCTCCAAAATATTTGGTAAAGCCAAATGTTCAGACAAGACAGTTTCCAGGCAATTTATCACACCATATTTTATGTCAACAATGTGATGCTGAAGGAAATGCAAAAATTGAACCTTTTGTTCAGAAACTTTTAGATAGAGATTTCAGCAAGCATTCTATCCTTTCAAAGACTTATCATTAGATGAAATGGTAATTTGATAGAAATGAAGATGGGCTCCCAAAATATTTAATGCCTCAAAATTGAAAAAGGATTGTGTGAAGACCTTTGACCCGGTGACTGTAATACTGGCTATGTTAAAAATATATGTGTTATATGTAACACTTGACAGTTGTCTTGCATGTATTTGTTAATTTAATATAAAGCAAACTTAATTATAGTAATCCTGCTAAAATATATTTTATTGGGAGTTTTCACTTGAATTCATATAAGTGAAATCATGACTTTATTGATAACTTTTTTGCAGGGTTCTGAATCCTCCAGGAGGTGGCTCAAGCAATATCTTTGGTGGTTATGAAGATAACTCAGCACAGCAGAGAACACCTGTCAAAAACAACCCAGACAACGTTAACAGAGGGAACAATGACATCTTCCACCAAGGAACTCACCCGGCTGCCAATACTCCACACATTCGCAATAATCCTGACAATGTCAACAGAGGGTCAAGTGACATCTTTAATCAGGGCACACACGCTGCGGCTGCTGCTTCTGCTCCAAAGTCACGGGCTCCTAGAAGTGGTGAAGATTCTTTTCATACGTTATTTGGGAATGGAAATGTACCGATTGCAAGAAATGAAATTATTAATTCGGGTCCTGAGAAATTCCGTAGAATGCGCCATAAAAGCCCTGACACGTTTTCAAATGTTTTTGGAGAATCTTGTAGTTTAAATAGAAGACAGTCGCTTCGCAAATTAAATGAACGGGACATTGATTCATATTCGCGAATATTTGGTCCGAATGACATTCAGGGTGCAAATGTGCATGGAGAGGGAAGTAGTGCATTTAAAAATTCTGATTTTCAATCCAGTGGGGTCTCTAACTGTTCAAGTGTATCATCACCAGGCAGTATCAATAGTAAATCTAATCATAGTGTAACATCATCCAGAGTTAGCCCGGATCAGTATGAAGATGCAAACTCATCCTTCAGCAGGGTTTTTGGTAAATTCTTGGCCGACACTAAGCCTTCAAGACCTAGAAGGTTCTGTGATAGAAGTGGTATGACCAATTACCACAGCAAAAAAAGTGATGTTAATTGCGTTTGTTTTCAGTTAAAACTTGACTGGATTACTTTAACATTTTCCATCCTTATGTTTGGGGTTTCTTACAGAATTCAGTTTCATAGATTTTTAAATTATTAAACGCTCTTTTTTACAGTTAATTTAATTTAAAGCGGTTTAACCCTGGCATTGATTATAGGACAAAAGGCTGGACCTTACATACTTTTTGAATGAGCAAAATTTAAATAGCTTTTTACTAAGCTATACATTATAAAGTATTCAACTTTCATATAATTTTTATTACAATATATTATTTTTAATTAGTTGGTTTAGTTCCTGCAGTTGACTGTGTTCATTGGCTTCAATTAATTAATTTATTTTGCTTTTTAACTCATATATTGTCACTTGTTTGGCACATGCATATATTAATTTTCCCTAGACAATTGAAGATTGTTTCTTTCCATCTGTGATACTTAATTGGACCAAAGTTATCACTTTTGAAAAAAAAAAATGTTTTTATCTATATTTTTTTTTCCTTCAGCATACAATCCTATAACTGGTGAGTGTTATGATACAGAGCCACCTAAAACTAAGCAGGAAGCAGCTGCACCTGTGTTCAATCCACAGGTAAATTTTAGGTTTTCGTTGATATTAAAACCTTAGTTGTGGGGATGCAAGTTGTTTTTAATATAAACGTATTGCTTCTTATTTTGTTATACCAGTCTTCTTGTCCATATTAGTGCTCTCAAGTAATGCTAAACTTTCCTCCCAACAGGCTGATGGCAACAGTGTTAAAGAAGAAGCCCAAGAGACTGCAGGAGCTGGTGCAAGACTAGATGAATCAAATGCTAGTAAGAACCAACAAGCTTCCACTCAAGGAGGAATATTTGGTAACAACTCTCACAACCCACCGGATCATAGCTCTACCAGAGTAAGCCAGCCACCAGGTGGAAAATCCACTAAATTATGGTGATTGCTAGGAGCAGATGATAGTCTATTTATTTAGCTATTCATTACATGCACACAACAAATGCTATGGAGTGGGTTAACACCACAAGACTTTTGCTTAATAATTGTACTGTTGTTAACTGCCTTCTGTATGAAGTGCTTGATTATGGCCTAATTGTGAATAACTTGTGGTTATAATTTTTCGATATGCTGAAGTCTTGAGTTCATAATTGTATTATTATTTTTAAATTGACCAATTATTTTTTATCATTTACAATTTTGCTGGAGTGACTAAAAACAAGAGTGACAAAATATTTTTTCCTATAATAAAGTGCTTATTTATTGCTTGATTAAATCCTTGAGTTTCATTTTCCATTTCAAAAAAAGAAAAAAACAACAAACCTACAAGGATTCTAGACCTCAATTATATTATATAATAATATATATATTATTATTTATTTATTTTTTTTGTGAACTAACTTTTTGATTGTAGTAGTGGTCTTCATATTAATTTACATCTCTTCTTAGCACTTTCTTATGAAGTTACTTATTAAGAATTATTTGTCATTGTGTATTTGTGACTTAGGTAATCAGCATAATGAAATTGAAGCACTAGGCAATCATAGATCTGAAAATGTTCAACCAATTTTCTTATCCAAATTTCAAATTTTTGCTGGCATTTGTCTGCTGTAACAACTTCACAAATCAGGATGTTACACATTTATTTATCTTTTTTTTTTTTTTTTTTTTTTTTTAAAGGCGTTAGTTCCAATTTTTGTTTTAATTTTTTAAAATTCTGCATTTTATTTTTTTCAACACACATTAAAAGAACAATTTTATTTTTTTTTTTTTTTTTTTTTTTTTTTTTTTTTTTTTTTTTTTTTAAAGGCGTTAGTTCCAATTTATGTTTTAATTTTTTAAAAGTCTGCATTTTATGTTTTTCAACACACATTACAAGAACAATTTTATATGGGCTTTCTATTTTAATCTCTGGTTTTGCATCCAGGTCTTATCTGAGCCAGATAGAACTGACTATTTCTCTGCCATTCTCTTTGCATTATGTTTGTCTTCTTATCCCCTTAATTTCAGTAAAATGTGCTCAACAATTTGAAAGTTTAAAAAAGTGAAGTTTTAATTTTTTAAATTTATTTTTTCCATTCAAAAAGCATTTGACCTATAGTATAGCAGCTTTATACTTTCTGGCCATATTTAATGTACATAACTTTTACTGAAAGCACGAAATAAATTATGTTTACCTCTACTCATATATCCTTAAGGTACAGTTCTTCACTGCAGTTATTTTTCATTAAAATGTTCTTGTACTTAATAGGCCCTGCTGTTCACATTACAGATCTGAGTTTTTATTTTTCTATTATAATTAGAACAGTTAAATTTTCATGGCTTAATTATTTTTTTTTAATGAATATCAAAGAACCTGTCAACAATCAGTTCTGGGGCGTGTTTTCGGCTTCCTATTCTAAGTCTATGATGCCAGTCTGTTTGTGGCTTAGGTTTCAGGTCACATTAACCCATTTTTAAGCATTGAACTGGATAGGTATATGCATGTTTATGTACTTACTTCCTTGTATATTAATAATAGCAACATATTTTATTATTGCCAAGTAAATGAATTTGTTTTGTATCTAATTTTTAAGCATTCCGAATCCAGCCATTTAAAAGTGCACTGCACATTTGCATTCATATAATAAAATTTCAAAAACAGGTTTTAAAACTTGGCTTTGGACTGATTATTCATAATATCTCTTGTGATCTAACAAAGTAGCTAATACTTTTTTTGCTTTCTTTTATTACTCAAAAAATATCTTGTTCTGTTAAGGTACATGCAAATTTAAATTTGAACAACGCTAATGCAACATGTCACATTTAACTTTTTGTGCTCTTTTTTTTTCTTTCTATGTCTGGCAAAAAGCACAATTTTGTCACGGTTGCTTTCTGTATGCAAAGTGAGGTACATTTGGTTTTATCAAGGTATCCATTAATTAACAATAATGGCCAACAACTTAATACAATGGTTTTTAGTTTTTTTATTATTTTAGTTATCCTAGTGAAGTTTATATCATTGAATCTACGTTCTTCGTCCATGAAATTGTGTGTCTTTTAAGGTAATTTTGTTCAATCTTTAAAAATTATTTCATAAAATTATTGTCCTTAAAAGTACATTGCAATAGGTCAGGTTTTGTATTCAATGCTTCTTATTCATCAAATATTAATTTGTTCAGTTAGGCTTTCTTCAGTGGAGGGAAGCTTAGGTTGCTAAACAGCAGGTTCCAAATCTATATTTTCCCCGCCCTGGTGTTGTCACTTATGTCATAACTACTCGTTGAACTTGAAGAACTAGGAAAGTTATTTTCTGTGATATCTTTTTTTTTTTTACTGGCTAAGTTAAACTCGTGAAAGCTCTCCGCTAAGTTGTTTGTTTAAAGGAATCTTTGTGTAAACCAGGCTAGCCAAGGATGCTCTTGTATGTTATATAAGTATTCTATGTTCTCACTGATGCATGCTTTCTATTATTGTCTTATATTAGAAATGATTAATTTGTAATAAATGGGAAAGGTAAATTAATAGTTTAGTGAAATTTCATCAAGTACTAAAAAAGCATCCAGTTTGATAAAAAAAATACAAAGCTACAAGGAGAGTAGGCCTCTAATACTAATATTGTCATGGTCACCTACTGAATTCTTTACATTTTTTGTAAGGAGAGCTTCATAAAAGCCTCTGTAATTCAGACATAGAAATTATTACATCTAAATGTGTTTTCTTTCCTACCCACACCATTACCTGTTTAAACATTCAATAGATTTGAAGAAATTTTGTGTGTAATTAATAATGAGGATTGGATTGGAGTAGAGTAATATTAGATAAATATATATTATGTATCTTATGTAGTGAACACTATTAAAGTTGTTGCCCGCAGTTTTATTAGCATCAATGGCCTTGGATCTCAGCACTTGTGTATTTTCTTAGCTTGCACCAGTAGGTAACAACCAATGTGTGTACTGCATTCCACTCTAGTTGGTGTACTGGCGAGTACTATTTGCCTTCTGAAATATTACTCTTCTAAAAAATATTGGAAACTTATGTTCAATTATTATGCAGCATAGAAGTTAGAAATTCCTCAATTATTTGATGCTGTATTTATTAAGGGTTGCCTCCCATGTCATCAACTGCTGTCCAATGTTTGATGGTTGCTGCTTCTTTTTTTTTTTTTTTTTTTCATCTTAATTTTATACCCAAAAAACAACCTTTTTTTTTTAAAAAAAATAAAATAAAAGCATTTATATTTTATTCTATACTTGAAAATTGTGTTACCCTACAGATAGATTGTTCTAAGACATTGACCATAACATTCACTTGGGTAGCTTGTTCTAAGACATTGACAATAACATTGACTTAAGAATGCACTTAAACTTAAAGCATGTGCCCTTGATTTTGAAAAGGGGGGGAAAAAAAAAAGCAAAGAAATCTGTTAACTGTTGTTGCCCTTTTATAACTAAGGAAATTTTTTTTTTTTTTGAGTTTGGAATTATTGCTGTTTAAATAAAGGAACTGCTAACATATAATGGGTGAGTTGTTATTTTTTATGATGGATGCCGACACTTCAACTTTTTTTTCTCACAATCCACAATGTTTATTTTGTAGTATATTTTTTATGGATGACAAATTTCAATAATTAGAGATGTTGATATTATTGGTCAGATGTGATCCTCTCTACAGAATCTCTTTAAGTTTAAGCACCCAAATCGTACTTACTAATGCCACTTTTTTCCCCCTTGTGATATTTTGATTTTACAGGAGGGGAAAAAACGGGCAGTAACCTATTTACCTGTTATGCAAATATTGGGGGAAAAGAAGGAAGTATGGCTAAGCATTGATAATTATATAGACAAACTCATATAAACCTTTCTTTGGCCTGGCCGACTGTAGCGTAAGATGAGTAATATGCCAGGTTTTTGGGGGTAACACACGAGTAAGTAAAGTCACCGTCTGCTTTTAAGTCTGTGTAATGTTGAAGCCATCATAACGGAGAATGGAGGCCAGAGATTTATTACCTATATAGTAGAAATATGGTGCGCAATTTGGGAGGGTGACAGTTCGACAAGGTCTGGGAAGCCACAGTGTGCCTGTTACGGTTAGCTGGGGAAATTTAGTACAAACATCCTTTGACTACGGACTCTACATTCGATCATAGTATTACTACTTGTTTCTTATCGTACCTAAGTAAGGATTTGGGGTCATAGACAGCATGCAGGGCCCACGTCTCATTTTCAAGTGGCCTCTAATTTCTGCATCACCTGCGTGAGCTGCACCTTCAGTTCAGGGAGCAAGATTCACATCATACACTTACAAAATGTGCGACTGTTTGCACGCAGACGGACAGCTATTCTAGAACATGCTCTATTGACTCATTCGCGGATCAAATATTTGTCCAAGCAAAAAAAAAAAAAAAAGACATTAAAATTCTTACATAAAGTAAGCCAAAACCAAGGATCGACAACCTATGACTGCGAATGACGTTGCACGCAGAGCAATTTTCAATGGCACGTGGTCGTGGAACACCAAAAAAAAAAAAAAAAAAATTGATAATAATAATAATAATAAATTAATAAAAGACTACTGAAATTCTTGTAATAGTAATATAAGTTAGATTAGACCAGTGGTTCTTAACCTTTTTGGAGGTACCGAACCCCACCAGTTTCATATGCGCATTTACAGAACACTTCTTTATAGGAAAAATTAAATATCATTTATTTTTTTGGGGACCTCCGCCGGACCCCTGAGACTGACTCACCGAACCCAGGGGTTCGATCGAACCCAGGTTGAGAACCACTGGATTAGACTCACGTTATTGGCTTGCGGAATGAAACAGTATCTAGTTGTGCAAAACATGATTCAACGGTTTCCGACACTGGCGTATGAAGGGGTGAGGCAGGTCCCCACCGGGCGGTACTCCCTTCCTGTATTTGCTGAGGGGTCGGGACAACTGCGCAGTTTTTTTTCCGCGGTGGTTAAGGGGGGGGGGGGGCGCAAAAAAATCTTGGTCCGCCCCTGGCGGCCCAAACCCTAGCTTTTCTACTCCCACTGGCTGTTGACCCTTGGCCTAGCATATGAGTAGTAGGCCTGTTAAAACCTTCACATCAAATCAGGGTGGATTTATATAAATATATATATATATATATATATATATATATAATTAATACATCTATATATATAATTCGCCAACAAAGGTCAAACAACAAGATGGGTCAAACACCACGCAGGCTTTTTATAGATACGCCAGAGTGTGGTTCAATAATGAGTTGACTAGCGCGCAAAATATAATTCCCGATAAATACGCTAAATGATATATATATATATATATATATATATATATATATATATATATATATATATATATATATATATATATATATATATATATATACATATATTTAATAACGCAATTGCGTTTGGTGCGTAATATTTTCTTTTCGGAAATGAAATCGCCTCAATTTAAGTATTGTGTCAAAAATATTCGGTTTAAAAGTGGTTGGGGCATGGGAATCTTAATATAGTTCATGGGCGTGAAATAAAAAGTGTGCAGTGACGTATCATGTGGGAAGGGGTGTAGCAAACATTGGGATTCTTAAATGTGCGTAACTTAAGTTCATGTTTTTGTCAAGTAACTTTACTAGATGGGAAGTTCACGCATTGCTGTCGCCAATGTTTGGCGGGCTACATCTAGTATATATATATATATATATATATAACAAATATGTTCCAACAAACATTTGGATATTACGTGGCATCGCTGTTTCTATATATAGCCAACATTCCTGTTGTGCCTAGGTGTAGCAATTCATTTTCATGGGAAAATATCGGGAATTCATAAAATGACGTATAGCCTTTTCCCCGTATCATTCTGTCAGCAATAACACAAACAAACTAGACTTCATTGTTTCTAAGTCACTTCGTGTTACTCCACGGCAGAATAGTGCATTATTCAGAATATTTTCGTTGGGTTGCCGAAACAGTCTTGATATGTGACAAAGCCATACAAGCACTCTGTGCTACACAGGTAATACAGTTTTGTCACCATGGTGTGAATACCGTGCTAGGGTTTCATTTCATATTTATATACTTAATATACCGGTAGCGTAATAAATAATATACCGTATTTATCGGCGTATAATACGCACCTGATTTTAAGAAGGAAATTTCATGAGAAAAAAAACGTAACATTATATCGGCGTATAACACGCACACATCATTTGCCCCCCCCCCCACCCCCCCCCCCCCCCATTTTCAGGGAGACAAAGTGCGTGTTATACACCGATAAACACGGTAGTTAGCAGATGCGTTTACATCAGTTAATTAAACTAAATATAAAAATGGGTCCATCCATATATTTCTACATATCCACTGTGGGGCAGGGTGTTGTGTATTTTTTAAGAATTTATCTATGTTTGCCAATGGCCCCGGGTGGGTGGGTAAGAGAAAAAAGGGGTGGAAAAAGGGGTGGGGGTGTCTCGTTATTTACCACAGTTAATGAAATATAAGGGGTAAAAAAATAAATAAAATGGAATGCAATTATTGCATTTCTTAAAATTTAACACAACTTTAATTCTGAAATTTCGTTAAAGAAATTAAATATGTTGAAGAATTGGAGAAAGAAGCTTGTCTCCAAAATTGGCAGGATGAATTTGTTTTAAATGCACGATTTCTTCCACCAGATCAGAAACAGAAGAATATTTCCTGGAAAAGACAATGCAATAACTTCTAATATCAGCTTCAGACGTGATGGAGTAATTCCACAACTTGCTGAAAAGAGCTGCAATCTCTTGAAGTGCTGTGAAGCAAGCCGTAATCCAGCTATAACAGAATCGATGATAGGGTAAAAAAATTTATAAAATAATTGACTTCTTCAATTCATCTAGTTCAGAGGACGTATGGGAATCACATTGGAGTGTCCTCAACCTGGTCACCATGGAAAAAAATATTCATCGCCAAGGGTGGTAACAATGTCTCTTCCAAATGTCAATGTTGACAACCTTTTCAATCGAACATGAGACCAGAGGCGTAGCGGGGGGAGGGGGGGCAGGAGGGGACAGATGTCCCCGGGCGCCAGCTAGTTAGGGGCGCCAAAATGTGCTTTGATATTATTTTATTGATGAAAATAATGGGTTTGAGAATTGAAAAAAAAGGAAAAAAAAAGGGCGCTTTATATGGATCTTGTCCCCGGGCGCCAAACACCCTCGCTACGCCTCTGTCGGAAACACTGGTGGTCTCAAAAAAGTTTATCAACTTTAATGATTTGCCCTATTCGCCACCCCCTGTCCAGACACTTGCCATGATAACAAATAGGATGGGTATATTTAATTATGGCTCACTGTACATCACAAATTGGTAACCGGAAATTGAAGATTGAAGTGCTAAAAGTACTTTAAGTCACAAAATGCTCATATTGAGATAAGCAAGTTCAAATATTCTTTTCGTCTATAAAACTTGATCATTTTCATAAATTTGTCTTGTTTAATTAAAGGACTTTGGTACATTTTACAGTGTTCAAATTTCGTTTGTGCACTTGGCTATACCCGAGGTCACAGTTTTGATTGATTTTGATAAAAATGTGACTCAGGTACTTTTAGCACGAGGGTCTTCAATTTGTTTGTAGAAATTTCGTCGACGGAAAATTGATCGAGGGAAATTTGATCGAACGGAAGTTTGGTCGAATTTGTTTTTTTGTTTTTTTAAATTTACACGCTCAAACTTTCGTCAAATTTCTTTTTGAACGCATTATTTTGGTTTACTAAATAGTATAGTGCGTTCATTAAAAATGGAAGAAATAACACTTAGGCTTGATACCCTTCAGAACCTTCTTTGATTTCCCCCCCCCCCCCCCCACTGTTTCAATTCCAGGGCGATTTAGTNTTTTTTGTTATAGTTTGTTTTTTTTTTGTTGTTTTTTTTTTTGGGGGGGGGGGGGAGGAGGGCGCAAACTTAAAGTCCGCCCCGGGCCGCATAATGTCTCACTGCACCACCATTTGGGGACCACCCTAACACACAATTTTTGTACAGTTTCACTCTTGCTGATAGGTGTCGATATCAACACTGCATCCCACTGTTGCCTTGTCAGAGGGGAGGAGGATTGGGGGGGGGGCAATGAGATATGGATGAGCAAAAACAGCACGGGGACAGAGTTGTGTATCGAGATGGATGAGAGACATATCAACATGTGCCCCCACCCTCATGTGGCTGAGTGATTTACCGGTACTCGGTTGCCCCTGCATGCCCCTACTGGTTTGAATCAGATCTGCTAGATGTCCTGTCCTGTCACGTTTGGATTGAAAGTGGGAGAAAAAAAACTGTGAAAATTGTGTAAAATTTTGGGTTGTCCCTTGGAGGAAACCACGGCTCCACAGTCCGACGCAGTGTAAATTTCAGGAATAACTGGACTATGCCTAACAGAAAGCGGAGAAAACCCCTGATACATTTTACTGTGACGTCATATTATCTATTTAAATAACTGATATTTTTTAAGTAGTGTTGGTATCCAAAAATAACGATTGTGAGGGGGGGGGGGATTTGAAAAAAACAAACTGTCTTACTTATTTGAACGCATTAATCAGCTATTCAAATACAAAAGGGTTACCATTTTAAAATATGGCAATGTTTGTTTTAATTGCTTGATATTTAAAGTGGGATTTTAAGTTTAACACATGGGGGCATGAACTTAACTGTAAAGCCCACATAACTGATACGGAGCAGCACGCGGTGTAGGTTTGCCTCTCCCTGGTCTCTAATGTGTCCAGGATTTAAACTTTGAATATTGTCTTGGAAAATATGCTATTTTGTTAATTTACAAGTGTGTCATTTGTTTCAAAGAAGGAAGCTTGTTTAGCCAGATTTTCCATAATCAAAGTCGTCTATGCGGTGACGTCACTAGAGTTGGTGTCACCTCCCCCCCTCCTGACCTCCAGTCTTCCCCATGGACCTCCTCCTAGTCTGCCTGATCTGGTAGAGGCCTACTATTGTAACTTACTTTGGTAACTTCCATGGTTGGCAACCTGATCTAGTGGTGATCTACTATTGTAACTTACTGTGGTAACTGCTTTTGTTGGCAAACTGATCTAGTGGTGATCTACTATTGTAACTTACTGTGGTAACTGCTTTTGTTGGCAACCTGATCTAGTGGTGATCTACTATTGTAACTTACTGTGGTAACTGCTTTTGTTGGCAAACTGATCTAGTGGTGATCTACTATTGTAACTTACTGTGGTAACTGCTTTTGTTGGCAAACTGATCTAGTGGTGATCTACTATTGTAACTTACTGTGGTAACTGCTTTTGTTGGCAACCTGATCTAGTGGTGACCTACTATTGTAACTTACTGTGGTAACTGCTTTTGTTGGCAAACTGATCTAGTGGTGATCTACTATTGTAACTTACTGTGGTAACTTCTATGGTTGGCAGCCTGTTCTGGTGGCACACATTTGTATTTAACTGAGTTCTGTTATGAAAGTGACTCGATGACTCGAGCAAACTATTTGCAGTGAGGTGTCACCTCCCTGTGAGGTCAGCACCCCCACCCCCTAGTGACTTAGTGACGCTACACTGCATCTACTGTAATAATATTTGGTGATACTATGATAATTTGTCAAGCTACAGGTAGGAAAGCAAAAATGTACCAACATAGATGTAGGAATATGAGATGAGGTTTGGCTATCCCGGGATGCACTATTTTCGGGTTGTCATTTTCGGTCCATTGCTAACACTAAATAGGACACATATTATGTTTGATGTGTATTTTTCTTTATAAATTGTTGCTTTCATGAGTAAGAGGTGTGGCAACAACAAAAAAAAAGGGGGGGGGGACAGCACCAAGTTTCGCAAACTCTAGAAGCTTACTGCTCCACTGGGCATCGGTGCAAGATATTTTACTCTTTGAAGAAATGTTAGGCAGCAGCGACCAAAAAAAAAAATAAAATTGTTAAATCACACAAATAAGAAACAATCTAAGCTCGTAGAAAGAGGTCATCCATTCCAATTAATGATGCTTCACTGGCGAGAAAAATGACACTTAATTCTAACATTCTGTTATCAAAAGATGGCATTCTCTCAAATTTATCATCTTCTTAAGCCTGGCGCCCTATGAACGTCTGTTAAAGGGATTAGCTTATTTCGCACTAAATGACATCGACTTTTGATTTTTGCATAAAACTTAGTAGTTTTGTTTTTTTTTCTTTTCTAAAGAATATGGGATACATAGAATTGAGCCATGTTTTGACCAGTTCGACTTATGCAATCTAAGTCAGAATTAATTCTAATAACTGGTGCGGCGTGTCTTCTTTTCGATGCAGAAGATCCAAAAAATCCCACCTATCCCAAAATTGCCACCCATGATGGACCCCCCCCAACCCCAACTTTAAAAAAAAAAATGATACTGCTTTAACTAAACTTTGACATGTATGATTTTGTAACTAGACGAGTATTAATAAGCGCCTTCTTTACACAGGTAACTATTGATGATGGCATGTTCATCTCGATTCACGTCTTCAAATCTGGAACTTCTGTTAGTCGGAAAGACAGGGAATGGGAAAAGCTCTACTGGAAATTCAATACTGGGCACAGGGACAAAAAACTTTGTTGCCCGATGTAAAACAACTTCCGTTACAAAGGAAGTAAAAAGGGTTAAAAATGAAAAGAGCAATGTCGCCGTTACTGATATCCCGGGACTAGCCGACACAGACCATGATGATGTGGGCAATGTATTACTGGCCAAAGATTCACTCGAGAAAGCAGTAAAGGGGACTGCCAATGGATTTCACGCCGTATTGTTTGTTTTAAGATTTGGCGAAAAGTTTACTGCAGAGGAGGTGGACGCTGTGAGTGCCATTAAATCCCTCCTGGGAAGCAGCATCTTTAAAGATTTCGGTATTTGTGTTTTCACGCACGGGGACAATTTTGAAAAGCAGCTGAAAGATGGCGGAGATGACCTCAATGGCGCTGAATCATTCACGGAATGGTGTGAGAAAGAAACAGGCAAATTGTTTCATCTGTTTCAAGAATGCGGTTCCCGCTACGTGCTGTTTGACAACAGGACCAAAGACGCAGACAAACAAAGAGAGCAGAGAGAGGTTTTGTTAACGATGGTTGAGAGCTTGAGTCAAGGCCAGAAAACGTATGGACTTGCAGAGCTAATGCTCGCCTCCCACAGTGAAGTGAAGAAGCCTAACATTGATGGACGCAGCTATGGTAGATTGCAGGCTACCTCAACGCTACAGGAGGCCCGTGAAGATTTTCCTGAGCTCGATGGGCGGACAGAGGAAGCCCATTTGCTGTACACAATTGCCGTATCGACGTTAGAGTATAAACAGGAGATCATTAAAGAAAAGTTTAAAAAAGACTTAAACATTGGATCCCGTGATTCAGAGTTGAAAAAATGCTTGTTGGAATTCGGTAAAGTTAAAGAAAAGATAGAAAATCTCAATAACCAACATGGTGGACTTGATCACCTTATCAATCAAATGTCTTATTATGAGACTGAATTAAAAGCACAGTTTTGATTTTGAAAAAAAAAATGCTTTAAAAAAAAAAAAAAACATAGATGAAGTTATTAGATTTTCAAATAACCAAGTAAATGAAGGCAGGGAGTGATAATTTGTTGGAATTGCGTAAAGTTAAAGAAAAGATAGAAAATCTCAATAACCAACATGGTTGACTTGATCACCTTATCAATCAAAAGTCTTATTATGAAACTGAATTAAAAGCACAGTTTTGATTTTGAAAAAAAAAATGCTTTAAAAAAAAAAAAAAACATAGATGAAGTTATTAGATTTTCAAATAACCAAGTAAATGAAGGCAGGGAGTGATAATGTCGTCAGTACCAGCAGTTATCGTGTTGGTCGTACGAGTCTCTACTCTTCAGAACTAAAATGACGTCAGGTCCCCCCCACTATGGGTAACCCCCAAAATGGTTATGGTCAGGTGGCATTGTTTAAAAGGCGGCCCCATTTTTTGTTGGAAGATGTAGAAATGTATTTGTCAGAAGATAAACCTTTTAAAATGTATTTTGATGTGCTCCCGAAGGAGATGTTAAAGGCGTATTTTAACAGACGATTTGGGCCAACTCTTAAATTTTTATTTTTTATTTTACCGTACTAAGAAATACATTGATTAGTTGGCCATAAAACAGTTCTCTCCGTTGCCTTAGCCCTAACTTAGAACTGAAGATAAATAGAAATATTTGGTCACCAGCAATTGAGAAGAGATAATTGCTGTGGATACAATTGAAAAAAATGTCATTAAATAAAATTATTGGACCTTTAAAAAAAAAAATTTTGTGTCAAAAGCGACAATGCGAATGCCTTATAAATTACTATAAATTTATTGTACTTTAAAATGTTACTTTAAAAAAAACCCCAGCAACCTTTAATGAGTAAAGCATTTGGTTCCTAAACACAAATTAATTTAATCTGTAGTTCAAATTGTGTCGATCAGGCCTGCACAACATACGGCCCGCGGGCCGCCAGCACCCTCTTTGCGGCCCGCGAAGTAACAAAATATTCTTTATTATTATTATTATTTTCTTTATAACTTTCCCCCTTGTCCTATTTTCTTTCTGCCCGCATAAGTTTTTCATAAAGTATTACGGCTCGCCTTGCATTTTGAGTTGTGAAGGCTTCAGTGAAGGCCTGGTGTAGATGAATAGTTATACTGTGCCGATTAACGTAAGGCCACCTTAGACTATCAAGCCTTAAGTGTGTTCATGCTGGCATCGCTATGCTGGTGTTTTTCTTTCCAAATTCAAACGCATTTAAAAATAATTGTTATGTCCTTGTTTGAACCTTAGTTCAACTTTTTATTGAGGAATTCAAATACATTATTTTTTATATGTAAGTCTGGAACTAATTATAAGGAGCTTTTATTTTTTATACATTTCCAATTACACCCCCTTTAAAGATTTTTTTTTAAAGCACAGTATGAATCTATGAATATGAATACAATCTTTCGAACAGAACTGTATTTTCAGAATATAAAGTTACGTCCCTTTTAAAATTATAAACACATTTCCTCATACTTTAAGGGAAGATTTTTTCTTTTTATATAAAAGTGGTTGCAACTAATTTAATTCAACTTGATTTGAACATATTTTGTATATCTATAATTTATTTTGTGCAATATAAGTGAACATCAATGCATCTATTGTTATTTTCATTTTTCTGGTCTTTCATTTTTCTTCTGTAAATCTGTTCTTTGTAGAAGTATATAAATAAAATAATTTTGTAATAAATAGTACATGTATATAAGAAAAGATTATAATCCATTTTTTGATGTTTTATATGAATTTAAAAGGCTACTTGTGCTTTCTAGTAATATTATTAATAAATCATTAAAAATAAACTCCCATTGTATAAACTTTAATATCACAGATAAAAAAATTGAGTCTGTTCTCTATATATGTGGGTATGTGATGAGTGTAAGCAAATGAGTATAAGTGATTTAGTTTTAGTTTTACAGATATAACCTTACGAAAATGGCAATTTTGATGGTGGCAAAAAAATTCAAATTACTAAATTTAAGAAATTCATAACTTTTTTTACTATTTGAGTTATAGTTATATGAACAAGCTTGGTATCCACTTTCTTAGAATCATGAGTTACATGACAGTATAAAATAAAGCTATAGGACTGTTTTGAAAAATCAATTTGAGGTACCGGTACCTAATGTCAGTGAGCTTTGCAACTCACGCATAAATAAAATTCTATTTACTGTAGTTGTCTGTCAATGAAAAAAAAAAAAAAGGCTTGCATAACCAGCTTATTAAGAAAATATTAATACTCTTTAAATAAAACTTACTGTGATAAAAACAATTAGTGAATATAAGGCCTTATCATTTTAAGAGATGATGTTGAATGTTGGTTTGTAAGACACATTTAATTATTGATTAAAGACATAAAATATTAGTGTAAATAGCCAGTTTAGTCAGTTCAGCTTAAATAAAGCAGACACAATACAATTAAAGCATTTCACCTGCAAGTGAAGCATAAAAATTAGTTGGCAAATTTATAAAGAAAAGACAACTGGAAAACAAGACACGGTCATTGAGTTTTTAATATATAAAAATTTAGATATTTAAACCAACAGCATAACAAAAACTTATCATGATAACCTAAAAGTCCATAAATCTCATCTAGCTTGGTAATGGTACCTCTTCATATGTAATTTCAATATAGGGATACTCCAATGGCAGATGCCAGTACTCATCATTATAAAACAGATAAAATGTATCGTACATTAAAAAGTAAGGAATGTATTCAATGAGGTGTTCAAGGACTTCTGCCAGGCTGGTGCTGCCTTGGAAGTAGGCATAAAATTTTTTAAGGTTTCCAAGCACCTTTGGATCTTGGTAGACAGTCGTTGCATTGCCAATACACTCTGGCTGTTTGCTGTACAGGACTGCTTTCGTGTAGTTGAGGTGAACTGATGTGTTGAAGGTGGCACCAAACTGGTGCAGCTGGTCAAAGGCTCGAATTACCCATGATGCACAATCAAAGGGGTCAAACCAGGTTACACCATCTGGAAGAAAAAGTCTCTTAGTTGTTAATGGTAAACACAAGGTCTTAGTTTACTTGTGTGGTATGAAAATTGAAATTGTAACACAAAATATTTGATCATTCTGTGTATACAGATGACTTAAGCTTATTAGTAGATGTATGAGGAATTAAATCCTGAGGCAGAGAAAAAATGCTACTCTACAACAGGCATAAAGAAACTTATTTTTTAAAGTATAAAATTTTATTTATCTATAACGCCATATAATTTGATAATGGGCTCATACACTCCATCTATCTTCAAAAGATTCATTAGTCATTTGAGACTTTGTGATTCACCGAAATTCAGCTCTTTAGAAGGACATTGGGAATTCGATTAAGATTTTTGTCAAAAATGGTTAATCATAAACCTCAAAACTCTGCAAGAAACAAAGCGGCTCCCCAAAAATAAGTCGCCTCAATAAAAGGGTAAGAAACTTGTTTTTAAAAAGATGCAACAAAAAATCCTTAAATATAAAGGTAAAGCTTTCTTCAAAGATGTTAAACCATAGGTCTATTCAAGTTTAATAAATTAATAAAAGCACTTAAGAATACATACAGTACAATAAAAAATGTATCGCAGCAAATTGGACTTAGCATAAATAAAGGGAAAACCAAGACCTTAAGAATAAATGCAAAGGATGATTGGGATTAACTTGATAGGAGCATCTCTTGAGGAAGTTGAGACTTTTACATACCGTACCTGAGAAGCATCATAAATAAAAATGGTGGCACAGATGAGGACATAAAGTCTAGGGGACATAAAGTCTAGGGTCCAAAAAGCCAGGGGAGCATTCAATGCCCTGTGAAACATCTGGAACTCAAGTGAAATACTGGCAAAACCAAAGTTAAAAATATTCAACTGGAATTTCAAGGCACTTATACTGTATAGCTGTGAAACTTGGAGAACAACAAAAACAAACATTAAAAAACTGCATTATAAACAGATGCTGGCGAAGGATCCCCAAAATAAGATGGTTTTGAAAAATTTGTAACACTGTTCTTTGGGAGAGAACATGAAGTGTTCCAATGGAAACGGAGATAAAAATGAGAAAATGGAGATGGATAGGGCACACATTAAGGAAACCAAACACTAACAACACAAGACGGGCCCTGAACTGGAATCCTCAAGGTACCAGGAAAAGAGGAAGACCAAGAGCCACATGGAAGACGGGAGTAGAGACAGAGGTGAAGAGAATGAAGAAAAGCTGGACTGAACTATCAAAGAAAGCCCAAGACAGGGACTGATGGAAAAGTTTTGTGGATGGCCTATGCTCCATTGGGAGTGAGACCGGCTAAGATGAAGAAGACAATAAAAAAATTGAAAATTTACAATTGCACAATTCAATATTCCTGTAACTGTTTTTATTGGGATTGTTGATAAATCATTATTTTCTTATTAAGCTCAATAGTGGCTATTTTTAGTGGCTTCAGTAAGTCCATTTTCTACAACTTAAGTTTTGTTCTAAGATTTAGATTTTGCGTATTTAAAACAAATGTTATTGAAGCTGTGAACATACTTGGACTTTCCTTAACTGTCCAAGTTTCATAATAAAGGTAAGTGTTGTTGTCTTGCTCGGTCCAATCAGCAAATTGATTGAATGTAGAACCTGTTGGAGAAATAAGTAAACACATTATAAATTTTTTTTAAATTGTTTAATTTTTTTTTTAAAGAATTTTTCGGCATACACAAGTTGAAAATTACTGACATACCTTTAAAAACATGGCTGCTAAAAGGAGGTGCTGCTCCTATAAATTTTTAAAACTTTATTTCAAAATTTGACTACACATATTTTACATAATCAAATGAAGTATCAAATGAAGTATCCTTAATTTTATTGGATTATATTATTGATGAAGCAGCAAATATGAATTGGGAAAGGGGCCTGAAAATTTCGCAATGTGCAATTATACATTGGTAAATCTTTCAAGAAATTATAAAAAAAGGATTTTTATGTTTTTGCAGTTGTAGAATGAAAAAGTGAATTGCAACTAAAAGCTTCATTCCATTAGCTAAGTTACAGCTTTTTACTGGATTTGCTGTGTTTGCTTGGAACAACTTTTTCAACTCCAGTATTATGCATCATTTTTTTACATTGGGATTCATCTAATCTTCAAAATAATTTATTTGTTATATCAACTGGGGTCAGTAACAATTAACTTAATATTCTGCTGATACTTACAAGCAAGGAGGCCTTAGAAAATGTAGTTTTCTTTTACCATTTTTGGCCCTTTAAAAATACAACAAACAGAATTCTACTAAGAATCTTTTGCAATGCATATCAAAAGACATTTTTTTTTATAAAGTACCGGTACCTGTTATTTCGCCAACTTTCACTAAAGTCCCATTGTCCCTCCAGTGTTTTTCATCAATGCCCATGTAAATGCATGCTGCTCCTTGGTTGCACCACAGCAAATCATTTTCCTGCTTCCTTTCATGTGGAAAAGTGCAGTTAAATAACTGAAACAGTTCATACCATTCCATCGTCATGTTTAAACCGGACTGTACATGATGAAATCCAATAGCATCATGCATAATGTTCTGAAAATAAATTTAACAATTTTGTTTAAATTTCGTTCAGCTTACTTCACATCTATTTAAAACTTTAAATATTCAAAGTTGCAAAATCTCTAGCAAAGGATAAAACTTCAATTTATATAAACTTCCAACACTCTGATAAAAGACAATAAGGTTTTATGATGGAAGTGCATGGTTTATTAGTTACGTATTTACTGTAATTTTATACAACACACGAAAAAAATGTGTGATGCATTACAAATATAAAAGAGTAATGACCAGCATAAAATTAATTATTTACAGAGCAAAACTTACAAATTTCTTTAGTAAATCCCCAAATTTGAATTCCCAAACAGGGGCTTTCATTGCATACACAAATAGTGTATCATTAGGCCCAACTTTAGGCATGATATTTGATGGTAAGCCAGTTGGACAGAATGGAACAATGCCTGCCTTACAATAGGGATCACTGATAGGTCTACTGTCATATGGCCTGCAATGCAAGTATAAAAAGAACATTGGTACTTTACTTTTCCTCCTTTTGGTATTCTTTTGCAGTTTGGGCAAAAGGGAAGCCTTTATTTAAGTCTCAATTTCTTGCAAAGCATTAATACCACAGAGAAAAAAAAAGACAAAACAAAAGTATAACAAAGAAAAATGTGGGAACAGCTTGTTAAATAAAATGCAGTTTTCAACAATTTGGTGGAGTGTGCAGTTTTCATCTATTTGGTGGAGTGTGCAGTTTTCAACTATTTGGGAGAGTGTGCAGTTTCCAAATAACTGGTGTGAAAATTGCCAAGGTGCCAGTGCTAAAATTAGTGGCTTTAATCACTTATCATTTGGAAGAGCTTGAAATTAACATAATTTTTATTTTAAACATCTATATTTATGAGCATTTAAATTACTATCAATTTTCTTTTGGCTCATTATGTATATTTTAACATCTGAGTCTATCGGCTTTTTTGTGTTGAAAACAGTGTTATAAACAGAGCTATGAAATCTTGGAATTTTTTAGCATGTCTTTGCAACCATGAATATAGTTTGAGTAAAAGCTTAAAATGAAAAAGACTAAGACAAAATAACATAAAAAAGAAGTAGTATTAATTATGTTTTCACTGAATTCTGTCAAATGATAATGATTTTGACTTAGCCTAAATATGTTTGACAGTCATTCCTCAACTCTTATAAAGTGACAAACCCATGCTATTAATTGTTACATTACCTATGTTGCTGAGGCCACTCTGGATGAGGTGCACTGCACTGAGACGTCCAGCTTAAGACAGGTGAAACTTGCACCATAAAAAAATAAGCTGTCAGTCTGAGCAAATGTCCTTTGTGCATTTTGTCTTTCATTCTAATAAATGAATACAACAAAAAGTTAATACAACCATTGCTGTGAAATTTATGTTAACTGATTGTTAAGATCAGTTGAAGTTGAAGCAGATGAATTGAGCAACAAAGAGAGACTGACAAAAAGGCATTGAATGCAAGTTTATAAAATTCTTTAATATAAAGTTATCAGAGATATTTATAATATTTATTTATATTTCAGGAACCCAGGAGTGTGTTAATTATTTATTTTATTATTACTATTACTGTGAGATTCAGATTAGTTGTTTTAGATTAGCTAGTATAAGACTTTAATTATTTCTGTGTTGTGAATTTAATTTCTTCAGATCATTGAACTCACAAGGATATGTAATAGTGTAGGGCAACAGTATCTCGGGGGGGGGGGGGGGGGGGGGTTGGCCCACTCCACATACCATCTGACAAGTTGGCATCCAGGCCAACCCACAACTATACAGTATGTTTGCAAAGGAGACATATTTCAAAGATCACTCATAATTTAATGATAGCTTTAATTTTTTTCTTCCTGAATTTTTATCAGTCCTGTATAAAATTTTTTGCATAATTAGTCCCTCATTCATGTCATGTGAAATCTTAATTAGGCACACCACTCTGTTGTATGTAAAGACTTTATGATTATTAATCAAACATTATATGATCTATTTTTAATAAAGTTTATTGAAATGCATACAATTTGTGTTGCTCAATAAAGAGCAAACTATACATATATAAGCTTAACTCTATTATAACTATCAAGCGCATTTTTCTTTGGCGTCGAACCATTTTTAGTATTTTCATATGCTTGTCAAAAATGACAACTGCTTATCCCCTGTTTTTACTGTTAGCAGTTCGTAACAGGGATCCAATCTTTTTTTCTTTTCTGTTTAATATATATTCTTTTCCAAACAAAATTTTTGCTGACTGCAACAATAAAACTAAGTTTATGGCCAAAGTTTTCAATATCTGACTCTCATATTGCCATCACCACTAGAGCTAATACTGTCATACTAGCATATCAAAAATCTCTGAAATCATTGTTTTCATTTGAATCAATTTGAAATAAATTCAATGAAGAAAAACTGTGTTGATTTTGCAATCAAATGGAAGACCCTATCCAGTATCAGACATACCAGTAGTAAAAAGAAAAATTGAGCATATTTCGCTGCTGATTAATCACAAAATAAGCCCCAATTCAAACCAATGGTAGAAATGGATACAGGAACCAAACTCATTTCTGTAGAGTAATATTCCCATATAAACGTACATTTTAATAATGGTTTTGCTAGCAGATGGTTATATTGGCTGATCATCAACCCTTTTTTTTTTTTTACAGTTATAGGTTTAAAATTTAAAATTGTCTGTTTAATTAAAAAAACATAAAAATGCTTTGAATAAAAATAATGAAATGGATACAGGAACCAAACTCATTTCTGTAGAGTAATATTCCCATATAAACGTACATTTTAATAATGGTTTTGCTAGCAGATGGTTATATTGGCTGATCATCAACCCTTTTTTTTTTTACAGTTATAGGTTTAAAATTTAAAATTGTCTGATTAATTAAAACAACATAAAAATGCTTTGGATAAAAATAATTATAATATATTATATATAATATAGTAGGGTTACCATATATCATATTTTCATATATCGTATTTATACCTATTATTTAGATGAATAATTTAAAAATGCTAAAATTAAAATGTGTTTTATTTTTATTGTTCTAAATTTTAACTCATTAGGCCTATAATATTATATAATATTACGCACATTATTTTAATGAGGTCAATCCCAATAAAAAGATATAAATTAAATATAGTGCAATTCGGTATACGACTAGTACTGTTACTGACTGTTACTGCTAGCTATGACGACGACAGCTATAACTTTATAACTACTATGAGTACGAGAAAGAAAAATGACTTTAAATTTAAGACTACTGCTGCTAGACAACTTAGTAGTTAGTAATTATTTTAATGTTTAAAAAGATATAGGTAAGTGATCTAAAAGCGGAAAGACTTACGTGAAATTTAAACAAATCGAATTTATAGTTCTATGTATACATGAAAAGATCTTCCATTAATTAGTTTCATGTTTTTTCGAGCTCGTTTAGCCGACATTTTGAATACAACATCACAACAAATCATGTGGATATTAAAACCATAAACTTTATGGTTAAAGAGTTGGAAAAGTCACGTGAATAATTCCAAAATAGAATGTGTTTTTTCGGTGCCTCAAAATTTAAAACGAAAAAAGCAAGAAAATAAATAAAAATAATGACAAGTTTTAGTTAAGTTAGGCGTTAGAGTTGAGCTAGCCTTTAACTTTAGGTATTCAGGGAACTGAAAAAGAAGGATATTTCTTCCCTTCCCTTTTTAAACCATAAATAATCAGTTTTGCAACAGTTTCATATCTAAAATAAGACAGTGTCAGCCTTCAACAGACACTGATGACACGCAAAATCTCCGAAGTCTGAAGTGAACTGAAGTGGAGTGACAGTGGAGCTGAATTTACACGCCCGGCTGACTTATTTTATTCTAATTCTAGGGACTAACTTTACTAAGTAAACTTAACTTATCAGTTCAGTATTATCACTTTCTCGTTTCTGTCTTAGAATTAGACTTAGTGCCTTCAATGATCAATCATACAATGATACCAATACCGTATTAGTATTAATTATTAATGTTAATATTGACATCATTTTATCCAGGAGCTAGACTAATACTAATAGATCCAAATCCATGTAAAATGTAAAGTAAAGCCTTTACTTTTAACTAAAGCTGGATTTTTAAAAAATAATTTTGATGATCTGATAGGGCTTTTGTCTTTCTTACTTAAATCGAATCAATTTAAATCATTAAATCTAAATCAAAATCTGATGAAATATTAAATAACATATTAGTCAATTTCAATTAGTTGGATATAGTTTTAGAACAAAAAAATGTTACTCGTTGGGTTGGATTATGATTAAATTAATTAATTATCTCTTTGTGTGACTTGGAACAAGGCACCGCGTCTCCCGTCTCATCTAATGAATGTAAACTCTGAAATCAAACCAGTCAAACCTTGAGAAGTCCCAAGCCCAAAGGCAGTTTGACATTCAGACAATGAAAATTTAAATAACTTGTGATTTATAACCCTTAAGACAGACTATAATATTAATAATACAAATAATCTACTTTAATTTTATGATTCACTATTTCCTACTTTAAATAATATAGTTAATATACATTTCAAATTCAGCAAGTCAAGGAATATTAATATTGTTGTATTTTGACTTTTTTTTTCAATTTTTGGGGATACAAAACCTGATACAGTTAAATTAATAATTTTTTTTTTTAGATTTAGATGTTGAGACTTTGTAATAGCAGTTAGAATGTATAGTAAAATCCCTTCCATTATTTATATATTTTCCCGTAACATCAAGTAATATCTTCTAGTATATTATGTTATATAATATAATGGTATCACCATCACTTCATCAGCATCATTGAATGAGCAGAGTGCATTCTGTAGGCACTTATCAGTGATCAAAATCAGCATACTCATACTGCTTATTTCACTAATTAAATCACTGCTCAATATTTGAGGAATTCAGAGTGATGACTGAGCAGGTACTTGATTGAGGTACCTAGTGTCAGTGGTAGGCCCGAAATATAAAATAATTAAAAGAAAATGTATTCGGAAACACCCCTCAAAACTTTGGGAACTATTAGTATAGACAGTAATAGACCTATATTAGTTTTAAAAAAACTCACAACTTCATTCAGAACACAGGTCAGAGTGGTTAAGATCCAGAGATATTGACAGTCCACATTTATTTTAATTTATGGATGTATACATACAATACATACTGATTAAAATAGAGCACAAATCTTTGCCCTCCAGCACAGTACATTCTTGGTGTGACATCCCAAAGAAACTTAATTAACTCAAATAGCAAAGATAAGGATGAAATTAACAAATGGTTGTTTTATGCTGTTTCAAAATGTCTCTGAATAGCTCCAGACTTTGCAAATTAGTCTTTATCAGTTAAAAAAAAAACGATCACTATTTTGTGACCAAGAAATGATGATTTAAATTATTAGTATTAGGATGACTTAATGCTATTAAATAACTAAAACAGTTGTTAGATGCATTTTTAATTACATTAAATATAAATGTTGCTCACCTGTTCTTTTGTGCACTGTACAATCACAGAGAATAATATTATCTTGTCTCTTTAATTCCCACCTACCGAGTCTTAAACTGAGCCTAAAGCTTATTCCTTCTGCTAAAAGTAGGGCTGGTAGAGACAGATTGCCTAAATGTAAGTGTCCTGATAATGCAACAAATATTTATAAATCCAACTAAACAGTGAGATGACAAAGATAATAAATGATATTAAATTACCACACAAATGTTAAGTGTTCATATCAAAATATGAGTGAGACAGGGGAAGACTTGGTATTAAAAATAGCTTAGTACTTTCCCTGATTAGTTATCTTTTGGATAAGCTTTAACAGCCAATCAGTTGTGAAAATGGACTATAGTTTTGCAACTAAGTTTCAAAACAGCAGATATTTTTTATCACTTCATAAAATGAATGAACAATTAATACAAATTTTAAAAAGCACACAACACACACACACAAAAAACACCCTGCATTTAATAAATATTGAAATGTATTTTAAAGTATATACCGGTAAAGATAAAGAAATTAAAAGATATATAATATATTTTTTATTTGCCTAAATAGTATATTATATATCGGTATACAACTATTTTACAGTTCCCACTTTGTTCTATCAACATCATTTGGTCATAGAATCCAAGATCCCCTGTTATAGGATTTCATATGTCAAGCTCTTTACCCCAATTTCCATGATTTCAATTTTTTAGAAACTGGAATTTGTAATAAATGCAAATAGAATAATAAACTATTTAAGTACATAAGCCAACACAAACATTTCTTAAATGTGACTGTTTACCTTAAGCTAAAGAGTATAACTTATAAAGTTTTGATGTAAAGTCAAAACTTCAGTTTGGCAAATTTTAGGTTGATGGAAGCATTTATTTATTGTATTATGGTATTATGTCACATTTCTTTATAACTTCTCAACCCCAAACATTGCTTTTTTTAAAAAAATTTGTATTATGTTATATGTTTAGATTTTCATATATAACTGTCATAAGGATTAGGTACTGAAAAACTCAACAATGCGTAATATTTATTGTAAGGTATATAATTATTTATAAGCTGTTTTCACCCAAGCTCCGCTAGGCAATTAAAAATATTCTTTAATCTTAACAATGTTGATGTTTTGCAGATTCTATTTCGCTATAGTCTGTCACAAAAAAAAAAAAAATGCCCGGAACAACGCATGTAGCACAGGTAAAAAAACACCTTTATTGATATCTTGATATATTTTAATTTGCCGCATTGATTTCTTTTCATATACTACAAGAGGGGTCTGGAACCTATGGCACATGTGCTAGAATTGGCACGGGTAACTTTTCATTGGCACTCTGAAGACCAACAAAAAAATTAAAGATGACCAAAAAATGTGCCTTAAATGGTAGATTGATAATTTATTGGCAAGTCTTAATTTGACATACTAATAACAAAATTTTACCGACCTCTGGGCTACAATATTATTCTTTAACTTCATTGTATTATATCATACAGCTGTAATGAAGAGTAAGATGGCAATTTTATTGTGTATCAATTATAGATTTCTTGATTTAACTTGTACTTGTACATTTTCTTGATTTAGATTGTTGATGTGGATATAAAGTGGAAACTTAGCATGGCTATCAGCAGTAATGATGTCAGAACTTTGAATGAGCCCATGGTTTCTATGACCATTGTTACTACTGATGAGGCTGGGAAAAAAATTAACAGACCCGTGGAGATGACAGCAGCCAAATTTAGGGTAAACTATTAGTTAAGTTGCTAAAACTTTTATAGGTTTTGAAATATTTTGAGATTGTCAAGGCAGAACTTGTTTTGTGTCAGTGTTCAACACTCGTAAGCAGATCCATCCCATCCCTGTGTTGCTAAGTCCATGTAGGGCTTTGGCCTGCCTCACCATATCCATCCTTCCACTCAGACCTAACTGATGCTTCTCTTTTCCATGCTTTGATTCCCAGCTGCTGTAGATCCCTCTCTACATCATCTATCCATCTAAATCTAGGTCTGCCTTTGAGCCTCTGGGGTTTTGATGGTGCTCCCTTTTCATTCCTCTGTCGTTTGACATTCTTTCTTAGTGTCAAGCCCAGCATAGCCTGCCCTTTTTTATTTCTGCTACTAGCGTGAGATCCTGATATTGACTAGGCTATTCCTGGTTGCTTCATATTCTCCATCCATATTCAGCCTTTGTTTGTCCATATATTTTTTGGAGAACTTTTTTCTCCCATGAATATGTTTCCTGCCTTTTTAAACAGAGTTAAGAGATGAACTGAAATCATTTGTGATAAGCTTAATAAAATTCATCATCATTTGAAAGTAAAACAAACATTGAAAATTATTTGTCTCCAATTATTGAGCTGTGTATTGACAATAAAATAGGTTCTCCAGCACAATCTTGTCAATTGTTTGAGATGAAACCTTTAACGCTTCTTCTTCTTTTCCTCATTTGTGCCTAATGGTGCATAGGCCGCTGATACTTACATTCCATTTATCTTTGTTCTGAGCTATTATTTCCAGCTCATTCATTTCTTGTTGTTTCTCTTCCTCTCACCATGAAGGTTCCTTCTTAATGTGTACTGTGGTCTTCTCATCATTCTGTGGATTCTATGACAGAGACTGTTGAGTAATATATGATTTTGGTTTCCTCAGTTTATGGCTAATCCATCTCAGTTTTCTTGTCTGTAATTTCTGCTCCTCAACTCTTGAATCCTAGTATTACAATTTAATCAGTAATTAAACAACCCCTTAAAACAAAGTTTCTCTAATAAATCGTTTATAAAATGTCATATCGAGCGATTGGGGGTTGGGCTGACAGAACATGCATACAAGTAACATACTTTCTAAAAATCCCAATTATTCCCCCCCCCCCCCCCCTCCCTCCAGACTCGCGTACATACATTTTCTCCACGTCCCTGAACTATTTTAATATAATATACTAATGACCCACTTGCTTTTACACTAAGATTTATTTCACCAACTATTTCAGCAAAACAAAAGAAACAGTTACGCACTAAAAGCAAATTTTTTTTAAGAATCTCATTTAGCACAGTTATCAGGAATTTTATTTAGTGAAATTAGTATCATCATTTTCCTTCATCTTCCCCTTGAAAAAGGGTGATTTTTAGATTAGCGTTTAGGGGGTGGGGATGAAAATTTGATAGAATGTGATGTCATTGGCAACGGGGCTATGTGCCAAGTTTCTGGTCGATAGATTAAGGAGAAGTGGGTCAATTAGCCCTCTGAAGATTTTGCCAGTCCGCCACCCAGCCAGCCATGAACAAAGTTAATATAAAGGATTTAAAAATCAGTATTATTAATTATCAAAGGATGTCTCTACTACAATCTGCAACCAACCAACAGATCCTTAATATATATTATATACTTCAAAATTGAACGAACCAGTTATTACCACCCACCTTTAGTCTATAGTCTACATTGGAAAAACCTACTCTACTGCAAAATAAGCATTTGTGTTGTAAGGATAAAGATCTGTCCCAGCTGCTTGCTTCATTATATACACTGCATCATTTTTTCCCTTGTCATTAGAGCAGTTTGTATGGAAGGAAACAGATGTCTCTAACATGATGCATTTTTACTTACTTGTAAATCCTCCACAATATTTACATCTTAAACAAATTGCTTTGAATAAAAGCTTATTTACATTATAATTTATTTTCAGGAATTGCTGAGCACTATGAAGCAAATACATACACAGATGGAAAATGCCAAAATTTTGTGATGATAGTGACTCAATATTATTGATACAATTCTGCTTTGGAACCAATCATGTTGATTTGATGACTGCATTAATAACATTGACAGTATAGTGCACATATTTCTTCAAATTATTCATATTTTAAAAATTCCTATGCAGATTTTTATTGTTTAACTAAGTTTGGTTTCTTAATTGTTATTGTGGGAATAAATTCTATTGTTTACAGATTAAAAGATATCTTGATGACATAAATGTTAATATGTAGGATAATGATTTCTGTCATGAAATTTGCTGCTAGGATTATCAAATACTGATAAAAAAAGTAATATAATGAATCTAAATGCACAAAGAGACAAGTAAAATTAAATATAATGTTTTAATCAACAATTTACAATAACATTGTATACTTCATTAAATTTTGTCCTAAGCATATGTTACTACCCTTACATGATTTTTTGGCAAATCTATTTTTTGTAATGGATTATGTGGTTTCATAGAATAGATTCACTTTACTAAAGATCTGTTCATCCATATTGTTTTTTGCTTTCATTACATTTACATTCTTAGATCTGTACAGATTTTTTAGCAAAAGGCATATCAATGTGTTATTCTTAGCCATCTGAAAAGTATTTCTTTATCTGTTTTCTTTTTCCAACCTGTATTACACTTCTTTATCAAGTTATCTACTCTCAAGTGTTCTTTATCATAATCAAGACATATCACAAGATCCTTAGCCTTTCCTGAGCTTGACTTTTCTGTTCGAATAAATTCTATTTACGGTACCTACACACATCCATATACTGTACATAAACACATCCATATACCGTACATAAACACATCCATAAGCAGATGTTTTGGTGAAGAAATAATTAATTAAAGTCAAAATAAAGATGTGCACAAAATTGGCAGCGTGCAAATTTAGGTCACAAGTTTTGTCCTCATTTTGTGACTGGCCTTCATATATTATTCTTACAATGTATCCCCAACTGTTTATAAAATCGTAGCATCAGTTGAAATCTATCTTTAAAATGGTCATGAATGGGTTCCGCATCTGACTTATATTAAATACCAGTACCTTATGATGAGATCTGCACTTACGCAAACTTGTAAGCTGATAATGATAGCAGAATATATGTCTGTGTATAACAAGGAGACAATACATTTCTTTCCAAGAGGCAGTCATCTATTTTTTGGAAATGTTTAGAATGGCTACCGTTTATACCGATAGACACAAGAAGGGAGTATCTGTGTCGAGTATGGGAGTTCATTAGTAATTGTTGCGACTGAATATTATGTTTCATTACGTTGGGTGTGGGTTTGAGAGTTTTAATTAGTTAGTGAATGCTCTTCCCGCGCTTGACTTGGTGACTTATTTTTATGCTCATTGTGACAAATTATCTAGACTGTATTGTGACATATGTTTTATTGGTCTGGCAGTCGTGAGTGGAATTTGCGGAAGTAGGATGTGTTTTATTTTTGTCTGATAGCGAGCTGCGCTATATCCATGTGTTTATGGAAATTAAAGCCTGTGTATATAATTAGGTATTAAAATTACATATATTGTGATAAAGGACTTGAGTTCATTCAATACTTGTACGACATATAACAATATGTGAAAGAACTTGACGAATTAACCAATCTAGCAGAAACACGGAGTTGGCAATAAGCTTTATACAGTATGTTTATTAGTTTTAAGTCTTTTTAGTACACAAAAATTATTTTTACAGTAAGTTTGGATTTTTTTAAAAAGTATTATTTTCTTTTGTATTGCTGCAACTGGCATATTATTTTATTGGGTTGGGTTATGTGATGTTCAAGCACTTTTCAGGCTTGTCCCTGCCAAAACTAATGGGGTCGGCATATGAGCTAATGGGCTTATAAACAGGCATACACTGTTAATATTCTTTTAACCAGGTTATTTGTATAACGATTTCATGAAAGTGGCCAACTAAATTAGTTAAATTTCATTAAATTCCCTAACTTTTAATTTAAATGTTAATTTGTTTAAATTGATATTTATTTGTACATATATTCTTGATCAAACATGAATTAATTGTGACTGTCATATTTTTGAGATGAATGATTTTAAATAAATTACATAAATTATTATTACAGAAATAAATTATTGTTTTTCTTGGAAAATTTCAGCTTTTTCTTCTACATATTTTGTTAAAATTAGTTAGGAAAAAAATGATTGTTTTTTTTTTTTTTTTTTTTTTTAAAGTTAGAGTAAAAAAAAAAAAAAAGGATGAATTATCAAAGAGGGATTTCAAAAACTAAAATAATAATTTGTTCTTAAAGACAAAATGTACAATTTGTTTCCAAGGCAGGTTCTGTTTTTTTTATTACCCTGAAAAAAAAATAATGGCACACAAAACAAAGTTTTATTTTAGTCAACCATTAGGTAATAACTTATGAAGTTTACTGAATTTAATGCTTTATCTTCTGTGGTTCATGTATTTTACTCAGTGTTGACACTCCACCACCCTTACATGAAAATGGAAACTAAAAGTAAACAGCACCATGACAGTATACTTGGTCTTCACAAGAAGCCAAAAAGTAGCCAAACAGAACATTACACTATTCCTACAAGGCACCATATGCAAAAATAGAAGACAACCCAACATACCTAGGTGTCCATTTAGACAGCTCATTTAAAAAAAGCATATTCAAAACTTGAAAGAAAAGTCAACAGGATGGCTAAACCTTGTTAAAAGGCTGGCCAGTACCTCATGGAGCAGTGTTAAGACCACACTGTGCCAGATGTACTTAGGATGTGGGATCAGTCAATTTCCACCAAGGAAAATTACAAAGCCAGACAGTCCATTTCATCTCGAGCGGGAGGTCTAGGATCTACCCCAACAACAGCATGCGGAATACAAACTAATACTGAGCCACTAAATCTTAGAAGAGAGGCGGCAGTTATTGAGATAGTTGTAATGTACAGAATGCTAGACAAGCAACATCCAAATGGTTGAAAAATGGAGACCAAACAATAGAATTAAACAGAAATCAATATTAGCTATAGCATCTGAAATTGATGAGAATCACCAACATACAGAGAAGACTTGCAAATCACACCTAAAGACCTATCCCCAAACCAACATTTACAAACAGCTTACCGGTACATCCAAACAGACCTAATCGAAAAGATAAAAAAGTACAGACATATTATATACATATAATGATAGCTGCAGAAAATTAAAGAGCAGACAAACAGATAACATCCAATGAACATCCAAACTTACCTACATCACTCAACACTGCAAAGTAAATTATCAGAGATAACAAAAAAGAAGAGTGGTTAAATGTATGGGCTATGTATGAACTCAACATGAAGATGTGTTTTTCACTCACATGCCCGCACCAACCCCTAAAATTCAGATAAATTGCCTCCAAAGATACAAAAGGGTCATACATTATCTTCCGCCTGCGCACAGGACACATACAAATTAATTCCCACTTTAACCGCATAAAACTAGATAGAACACCAATGTCCCCCCCTCCACCCCTAAACTGCAAACATCCAAATGAGACGGTAAGACATCACCTCTTCCACTGCCTGACACTTCAAGATGTCCACCTAAACTACCTACCAAAAACACCAACATCCTATATACTAACAAAACAAAAAAACAGCTGTGGAGAATGTGTAAAGTCTCCACCATGACCGCCAGCCAAAGGGCACATGCCCAAATGGCCACTGGATCTGAATGATGATGAATAAATAGTACAACAAAATACTAGCTTGCAAGCCATATGCTTCATCTTGCAGTTATTGTTGTCAAATGTAGTTAGAATAACTTTGAACAATAAAGTTCATAAGTACACAGTGCACTTATAGCAGTAACTGGTTTTCAGATTGTTATTATCATGGTTCACATAACAGTAAACTTTGGAAATTTATGCGTACATCCTTTGGCTATAAGTATAAGTAGTTTCTCCAAATATCTATGTCTTTTTAACAAATTAAAAACACAATCTTAATATAAATTTTGGCTCAATCAATTTTAATCAACAAGATCTAAAGCCAGTAAGCACATTCAAGTCAACAAGCACATTCAAGCAAACAAGCACATTCAAGCCAACAAGCACATGTAATGCAATAAGGCTCATATTTATCACATAGTTTCAGGTCTAGTTATTGACAAATACATTTTATTAGTTATAACATGACATGTTTACAAAATATATATTATTAATACTGATAATATTGAAATTTCTGCTTAAATGCTTAGAATCTGTTATACATGTTTATTACAGATATTTATGTGTGAAAATAAACCTTTCTTCCTGTATTTGTAGCTTACCTTACTTTTAAACAAAAATACCTTAACCCCAATTTACTAAACAAAAGCTGGATGCATTTATTTAGTTCTTGTTTTAATGAACTCTAAAAATTGATGCTCATTTAGGTATTTAATACCTGCTGAATGATAATTGAATAAGTTTCAGCTTGACACCTCTATTTTAACTGGCATGGCATGGGTAGTCCTTTTAATCCTGCCAACAGGTTCCTTGCGGCTAGTACAGCCATAGCTTCCCTGGTGCTGTGAGTGGCGCTACCGATATGGGGAATCACAATGCAGTTGTCCAGTTTTAAAAGTGGGCTGTCTACTGGCAGGGGCTCTGGTGAGGTCACATCTAAACCTGCTGCTCCTATTTCTCCCGACTCCAGAGCTTTGTACAAGTCATCCTGGTTCACTATTCCACCTCTGCTGCTGTTGATAAATACAGCTGATGGCTTCATCTTTTTAAATGCATCACGATTGAAAAGTTCTTTTGTTTCAGAAGTAAGTGCACAACATGCAATCACAAAATCTGATATCTTCAGCAGTTCATCAAAGCTTTTATATTCAGCATTGATTTCTTTGGCTTCTTCTTTTTCTGATCTTCCACTGTAAACAATTTTGGCCACCCCAAATGGTTTCAGGCACTTGGCAATGGCAAAACCTATTCTCCCCAAACCCACTATTCCCACTGTTGCACCATCAAGCCCTGGACCACAGAGCCACATTGGCTTCCATGTCCCCCATTCTCCAGTCTGCACTGCCCTTATACCTGTTGAATAAGCAACAAAATGATTTTTCAAAGTTTTAATTTTAAAAATCTTACAATTTTTTCATGATAAGTAATCTCAGTTTTGTTAAATAATCATAATATAATTTTCGTAGATGTAATGTACAAAAAAAAAGAGTAAAGATTCACCTTGATCATTCTTTTGCCACAACTAAATACATTGTAGATGTTGTTTTTGAAATGGTACTTTCAAAAAGCTAAATATTTTCAAATTATTAAGTAGCCTTTACCTTCTTTGAGCCTCCTAGATGTTGCTAAAAGTAGAGCCATAGTTAACTCAGCAGTTGCATTTGTTAAAATTCCAGGGGTGTAACCCAACAATATGTTTCTTTTATTACACTCCATTACATCGATATGATCATACCCGACAGACATTGTAGATACCACTTGCAGACTTGGTCCTGAAACCATACAATTACAATTGCCAAGCTTAGATCAATGGCACAGAAAGAAATTAACGGACACTATTTTTTTTATAGTACTTATTAGTATCTAATAATTAAATTAAAGTATTGACACATCATTAAGTCAAATGGTATGGGGGTATAGCCAAAACAAAATTTTTTGGTTCAAATAATAACATGATGCAAACAGATATGCTTTAAATAGGCTAACACAAGTAAAAAGAGCTTTAATGCCTGCCTTACTTAGATATCAAAATAATTGATATTATGTTACATTACTTATATTTATATACATACAATCTTGTATTGTCAGAATTATTGGTGTCAGGAACTTTTTTGTAAGCAAAAGAGAATTTTCAGATAAGAATTAATAGAAACTCACATGATTCAATCCACAACCCAAAATTATTCATATTAATATAATAATTATTTTTAAAATTTCAAATTATGCCTTTATATTTTTTTAATTTAAAACAAAGAAATCAAATTATTTATTTAATTTAATCGTGGATACTGTGTCAGAGACCAGATTGAGCCAATGCCGTAGCAGTAACTCTAATCTAGTCAAGATTATATTACTGTAACAGTTGTTTGTGGAGTTTACCTCAAAACCAAATTCAGAGACTCCCGAAGGTAAAAAATACTGCAGCATGCATTGTATCACATATAAAGAAATCTGACCACATCAACCAAGTTCTTAAAGATCTCCACAGGCTTCCTGTGAGTGAGCGCATTGACAGTGAAATTCTGTCCCTGTCGTATAGCTGTATAGAAGGCTCTGCACCTGTATATTTTCAAAAACTGATTTCTAAACATATATCCATACAGAACCTGCGCTCTTCAACACAGTCCTTACTGAGAGTTTCCAGTATGAATTGGCACAGAAAGAAGTCACACAGAGTGCACTCTTTTGAAGCTATTGCACCTAAATTGTGGAACATGTTTGCCTCAATCACAATCTTTGAGGGACATTGAAAATGATAAAAGTCATTTAAGAACCATTTAAAGACTTTTTTTCTTTAAATAGAGTGCTGTGAGCATGCTAAAATACACAAGCACTATAAAAGTACTCAGTCTTCTTATATTTGAGGGCCCCCAATCAATTTATTGATCATCTGGCCCCTGGTTTGAATTCAGAGTTAGATGGGTTGCCTTCCAAGGCAAACGAGTCTCATCCACCCGGGGTGCTTGAGTTGTTGGCATTGGTAGGGATTGAACTCCAGACCACCAGCTATTTGGTTTGAGTCAGTTTAGACTGCTCGGCCAACCAGCGCCAAGCTTCATCATCATCATCATCAGGATGACTTTCACAGATACTAACAGAATCAATTCTATCTATTGTCATTACATATAGATCTTTTAATAAAATTTTTCACTGTTTCATACATTTTAAAATCTCTCTAATCTAATTTGAAGATAGTTACTTAGGGATTTCTCTATCTTTTTATCATCCTCAGAGAAGATCTGCTCCACAACCTCTTGCTGTTGCTGGATGCAGATACATCAGTTTGCCTGTGATCAGTTCCTGGCTATGTTCATGCACTTTCTTTTGAATTTTGCCTTCATTCAATTCTAGTCCAAAAGATGCTGACATTGAAAGTGTATAGACTAAATAGACACCGCAAAACCTTGCTTGTTTATCACATTATAATTAACGAGGTGGTTGCGTGCACCGCCGCAGTTTACCCAGCAAAACTATGGACCTAGGCCTGCGTACACTGTCGCAAATATTTACCATTGGCCTGGTTTTAAGATAAACCTGTCAGAAAAGATCTTGTGTGGTCTTGTGGTAAAGTAGGCACTAGGCGATATTTTATTTTGTGATCAATTCCCAGTAGGCGATTGAGTTTTTATATATTTTTTTCCATTTTAATTTAAAATATTATATATTTATATTATTATGTTCATTTGCAACAGTAGTTTCATGAGAAGTTTTTAAATATTTTGTAACAATTTAAACATTTTAGATATATGTTATATTCAGATTATTAAGTGTTTCAACAAGTTATCCCGACATTTGATTCACGATTCATTCACAACCCTCAGTCTCACAGCAAATCTTTTAAAAAAAACACGATTTTAGAAACTTAAGGAGCAATAGCAAACTGTAAAACAAAGCCATATGTCTACGTTTACCCTGCTCATGATGGAATTTGTTTCCAGAATGGCATGACATGTGCTATTCTCAGGGTAAAACACGACGTTGTCTCACAGAAACCATTGCACAATGCGCTTGGGGCAGGATTTGCGCATTTCAAAGTTTTTTTTATTTGGTGTTTTTTGTTAAGAAACTGATCCTGCCGGGTTCAAGGACAAGGGGGGGGGGGGGGGGTGGTTACACAAATCACGGCTCTGGATAGGGTTTATAAATCATGGTTTAACATTACAACCCCACCCTTCCAATAAATACTAAAAATACTAAGAATTGCTTTGCTCTTTAGTAAAGTCTTTACAAGTACTTAGCCACAAAAGTGTGGAACTTACCCAATATCTTCCTCCCAAGGTATTAAATGATTTTTAAATAAAATAGTTTTCAGTTTAACAAGAGTATAAATTAAATCTACAATTACTGGTTAGGCCAAAAAGTTAAAGACTCACAAAGACCATGGTTTAATGGTTTTGCTGTTTTAAATTGCTGCGGTGTATGCAGGCCACAGCCAATGATTTAGCTAGGTACATTGCCATGGTGTACGCAGGCCGCCAAAGTCCATGATTTTGCTAGGTACACCGCCGCAGTGTACGTAGTGCCGGCCTATAATTAATTTTAACACTTTATTGTCTTGCAAAAACACTTGCAGACCAAGTTACTTTCAATGTAAATTTTACTGAAACTGTGTAACAAACTTAAATTGTGATTAATTGATAATATTAATATGAAGAGAAAAAAATAGAGACCTGCTTCATTAAGCAATTCTACATCAATTTTATCTGTCAGCAAGCAAAACAAGCCATTAATGCCTTTGACGGTAGATAAGTACTCATTGCGTGGTGGTGGGTCATCGAAATTCCAACTTATGATTTCACATTCAGAGGCAATCAATGCATAGCCTTTTTCTGGTATTCGTCTGCTAATAAATACCCTAGGTCTGTTCTGTGTACTCATTTTGTTGAATTTATTAGCAGTAAACAACACACTTTGTGATCGTAAGCAAAAGCGTTGAACCCTTGATATAAATAATAGAGGTCTGAAGACTTGCATTGGGTAAGATTCTTATTATTATATTACATCTGAAGACTAAGCTGGCTAGTAACGTATAAGTAAATCTTTTTTTTATTTGTAAACCCCTCTTCTTTCGATATTGATCTTTTATTTAATTTTTTGTTGTTTACTTAACTTACTTCCCTTTATAGGGGCAATAATTAGTTTGAGAATTCCATTTGAAAGTGCTTTCCCATTTATTTGTTCACCTAAGCTTATTTTGGATATCACATGACCTACGAACAGATAAACAACTGGTGATAGATCAACAGATGAAACACTACTGATAGTGATAGCAAGACCAAGGCCAAAAGATTTACGAGGTGATCAAAGGTTTAGTGCATTATTATCTGGTTAATTTACACGTCAAGCAAAACTTTTCTTACCTGAAATTTGTATGTAAAATAGCAGAGCTTAATTACTATTAATTATATTATAATTCATTGGCTAGTAATTAATATTACTAGCCCATATAATGCCATATTATATGGCATATACCCGACTTTTCGCGGGTTTGTATTTCTCATTGTCATTTGTATTCCGAAAAAAATCTGATATTATAAGCGAACACGTGACTTATTCAAAAATACTCAGCTAAAGTAAATATTACAATTTTCTTCTTTAAAAGGCCAGATTTGTAATAATAATAACTATTGTAACTGTAAGAAATGAGTTTGTGCCCCATCCTGTTTCAGTTAATGGCTATAATAATTATAATAATATTCCTATATTTTCCATATGTAGTTTTTCACTCTGTATCTCATTCAAATATAGGTAAGGACTTACTAAGGCTTCGACAATCATAAAAGTTTTTAAAAAAATTCTGCAAGTAAGATGTGTTTATTCTAAGTCTCTAAGTGTAATTAAAAAATAACTGCATGCATATATATTAACCGATACCAGTAAAATTCCCAGGAAAGTATAGAAATCTATAAAACTAAAATTTCCAGAAACTTTTAGATCAGGGGTGGCCAACCTTTTCAGTAAGCGGGCCAAATTTGTGAAATAATATTTCCTGCCAGGCCATGCACCAAATTTTTAAAAATTAATAAATAAAGTTAACAAGGAAATGTGCTACAGCTTCGACCACACCGTTGCTTCCCAGTAGGTGAGATCTTGGTTAAATGCTTGCCTCGTTTAATCTAAAAAAAAAAAACAAGAAAGAGGTATATTTTTTTCTGTAAGAAAATAAAACATAACTGAGAATAAAACATGTTTATTATTAGACAATTTAAAATTATTTAAAAGTGAAACATCTGAATTTGTTTTGTAGAATTAAGTGCATCAAAATTAATCTCGATTGATGTTGTTGCTACATGCGAATAGTTTTCCAAATGAACATCAGTAATTCAATTTCTCACTTCTGATTTGATGTGTTTCAAACAACTCAAAAGCTGTTCACATGCATAAGTGTTTTCAATAGTGAAACCATCGACAGAGCATGTTTGTAAAATGCAAGATATTTATCCTTGTCCAAATACGTTTTATTAAAATCTTCCAAACCAACTTGATGGAATTTCTCTTTTAATTGTGCATCACAACACATTTCACAATGTTCCCATTGTAATCTTCCAGGTAATAAATTCACGTCAAACGCGAATAGAGTTGCAAATGCACAAAAAAGCATATGATGTTGTTTTTTAAATCCTGAAATCGGTTTTCAAATTCAAGGTTTAAGTCAGATATCAAAGAAGCGTATTTATCCGTTGCCTCCTGTGTGACGTCTGGTTGGAATGACGATGTAGGAAAGTGAGTAAAGTTTTTTGTTGTAAAAAGAGAGTAAACTATTGTTCCCAAAGACCAAGTTTCATTTGAAATGCAGAAATATGATCATACATTTTATTAATTAATTGATCTTTTCCTTGTAGATGAGTATTAACATCATTTAGGTGGCTAGCTATATTGACCAGAAGTGCAAATAAGCAAACCCACTTTTTGTCTTCAAACTCTGAGATACTTATTGACTTGGTTGAAAAGAATGATTGTATTTCTTGCTGCAAATCAAAAACTATTTTCAACATTTTGGCACGGGACAACCATCTTTCTTCTGCATGAAATGTAGCGTCATTATAATCTGAGTCCAAAGACTTTAGAAATTCTTGGAACAGTGATTCAACCTGTTTGACTAAATGTAGATAACTAATTTGACGACCACTTTCGTGACATGGTCAATTTTGAGGGCCTTCAAACATAAATTCTCCTGATGTATAATGTAATGAAAATTTAGCATTGAGGTATTACCGACTTTGGAGGTCTCATTTTCAAACAATTTTACTAAACCTTCGTTTCTCCCAACCATTACTGGAGTACCATCCGTTGTTAAGCCAGATAAGTTGTTAAGTTGTAATGAAAAGCAATACAATGTCCTTGTAAATGCGTCTAAAAAATATTGTGACAAAAATATTATGGATAAAGTGCCGCTATTTCTTTTGTCTTCTTGAAATTGACATCAACACTCATGACAAAAAATGACCAGTTGGGCAGTATCTGCCACATCTTTGCTTTCATCCAATGCTAGAGCATAAAATATAAACACGGATGCTGTTTTCAAATTATCTTCAATATGTTTTCCAAATTCGTTCACACGCCTAGTAATAGTCTGACGAGACAGACTTATTTTTTAGAAATCCTCCTTCTTTTCTGGACACAGAATTTCAACGATGCTCTCCAAACATTCCTTAATCATTTCACCATTTGAATATGGCGTTGATATTTTTGCTAGTACCATGGCTACTGCATGCGAGATATTTCAAATTTTCTTAGCTATAATTTTAAAATATATGATACATACAAACAACTGATGATGAATGTTCTTTTATGTGATATGTACAATAAAGTTAACATTTAATGTTCATTTGACCTAGCTCCGCGGGCCGCAACATGACTTGCAGCGGGCCACATGCGGCCTGTGGGCCATGTGTTGGCCACCTCTGTTTTAGATTCTTTTGACATTTTGATAATCTTTAATGCCACATTGAACAATATAGAACTTGCTAGAAAATTCTGTAGTTTTTTTAAAACCTTCAAATAATTTGTAAAATATTAATCTTTCTATGTAGACCTTATCTTGAGACTAAAACATCTAAAACAAAATGTTGTAACCCTATAGTTTTACATTAAAGTTCAATTAAGGACATGTTAGGTCCCATTCTATAAGGTGATGTTTTAATTATCACACAGGTAGGGACCCTAAATAGCCAAGTAACATCTTATAAGTTGTCCTTTTAAAATCGGTTTAAAAGATTTAAGAGATATAGAGTAATTAAGGAAAATGAAATTAATATCCCTGACAGTTGTGAATATTATTAATTTAAAACCCTCCAGTTTTTCAATATAAATTTTTAAGTCCATTTTTTAAAAATTTTACTCTAGATCTATCCATTAATTATAGCTAATAAATGTTGTTGTTTTATTAGTTTATTGTAAATTTCTCATTTTCCCTGTTCCAAAAATTTATATTACACTGAAATAGTATCGCTATCCACATAAAATGAATAGACCCATTCAGGGAAGTAGTTTCACTAAATGCTGAGTTGGGGCTAAATCACAAAATTACAATTTCCTTTTGCACATATACATCTACTATATAAAATTGGTAATAAAATTTATAAAAGTACGCCCATGACTGTAAACCCCTAAGTACCCCAAAGTACCCTTTATGAACGCCCCTGAACTATGTGATAATTCTAATGTATTATTTTTTTTAAAAACATTGAATAAAGCTTTATTTTAAATACTTGCACCAAACAAAAGCACACCAAAAACCTTCCTTTAATAGTTTTTTTGAAAGTCCAGCATTCTGAATAAAGGGTTATTAAAACTTGCATATACTAAAAATAACTTAACTTGAATGTCCCTGGAAACCATTTCATTTACTCTTTACCCTCTGCATTTTAAATACATTTTTTGAGACAAGAGGATTATGACCAAACTTTCCAGGAGTCATCTGTAGGTCAGGAGGAATGACCATGTCAAATTGGTTTCTGATCCATTTTTGGTTTTCTTTGGATTGATGGACCCATCCACAAATAAACATAGTCAGACTGAGCTTTATATTGTTGATTTTTGTGTGTGTGTTGTATTTGTATTAATTTCTAATAATATTGTAAAACAGTTTCCCATTGATTACCTGATTAGTGTTCCATAGATTTTTAAGAGGAACAATGAAAAAATGTCTTATTATTAAATTGATAAGAAGAGGTAGATTTCTATCTCTGACAACCCAATTTTGTTGTTGTTTTTTTTGAAGTGTGGGGTGTGACTTATGTGACAACTGGCATTTTCATTTTATTACACCTTCCAGTCTTAAATGCAAAACTTTGTTTATATTTTGCTATTATTAACAAATATAACTTTATTTCTTTTTGTGAATGAATGAAGGAGTATTATGGTAAACAACTATGTCTTAAGATTTTAGAATAAAAATTCTAAACCATTAATTACATACCAAAATATCAGAGTAAATGCTTTGCAGGTCACAAAATCCACTTCACTGCAAAAATGTTATCAGTGTTACTCATAGCAAAGCAATTTATTATTAGAAAACTGTGAAGTAAAACGAAAAAAAAAAAAGGTCACTGACAAGCCAAATGTACTATTGCCACAAAATTTTTTGCATCATTTTTCAACTTGGGTAGAATGGTGCACCAATTGTGTATCAAAATACCTAATTATGTATTTATAGTATTAAATGTATCAGCCCGTCATTATCTAATGAAAATATGAGGCTGAAAGCTATTATTTATTCACAACAATAAATTTATTTTCCAGTCCTTGAAACATGGCACCCTCATCCGCTACTGGAGCAGGCATTCTCTATCAGTATACCAACTGTCGAATTCTGAGAGGAGGAAAGATTTTTCGTGATGATTTGTGGGTTAGAAATGGAATCATCATGGACCCAGAAATACTATTTTATGTTGAAAAAGTCTATGCAGATGAAAAAATTGATTGCCAGAATATGATTATTGCCCCAGGGTTTATTGATGTGCAAATAAATGGTGAGTAAATTATTAAAATCATTTTTTTTTTCTTTATTTAATTTTCAGACAAATAATAAATTCAAATAATTAATTTAAATGAGAGATTCCGTAGCAGAGTAGTTGCTTGATTAATTTTTAAAACCTTTTTGCCTATTTCTTTTTATTGATCTGAGGATCCCTGAAAACATTGAATAAGAGCTTTTAAAAAGCACATTTCTACAGGTGGTTTTGGTTATGACTTCTCTACTGATGCAAATGTGGAGGAAGGTGTTAAAAAAGTTGCTCATGGTATTCTTGCACATGGAGTCACCTCCTTCTGTCCTACTGTTATCACTTCAACACCCGAGTTTTATAAGAAGGTTTGGATATCTTTTTAATTTCTTTTCTGCAGTCTTAGCGTAAAGGATGATTTTGTTTTAAAATTGAAAAAAATTATGAAAAAATATTTGGGATCAGCTACCCAGGTCACATAAGAAATGGAAAAAGTCTGAGGTTGCATAGAGAGAAAATAAATGATATAATTATAGATTTTGATCAATTATTATTTTTTGATTTATGATTATTTAGTAGTCATTTATTGAAACAATTCAAAATGTAGTTTGGGAAATTTTTTAAAATTATAAAAATTAATAGCAAAAGAAATTTGTTTTTGGTTAAGTTCAAAGAGTATTTCTAATGGAGTTTTGCTATGTGCAAGATATTCAAAATAAATAAACCCTTGGAATGTTTCAGTTTATTTGCATTGCTATTATAAGGCAGCTTTTTTGACTTCATTAGGTTTTATTTAATTAAAAATTTCCATCTTCTTTTTAGCTTCTTCCTCGAATCAAGAAATGTAATGGAAGTGAAAAGGGTGCAGGTGTCATTGGTAGGTGGTACATAATATCTTTATTTTATTTCTCTCTTTTTTAAAAATAATTTAATAAAATGTTTTAAATTGATTAGTGTACTTGTTTGATTAGCATTGACTCTGGGCCAACTTGTATTCGTGGACATCAACCTTGCCAGATAGAGGGGGCTATGAATCTTTGACCTGGGGAGCTATTAAGAGCAACAGCTAAGGCTGTTGTTTTCCAAATGTAAAATGATTTAATATGAGATGAAATACCACCTCATTAACAAATAAACTTTTAAAGTTTTGACTGGTTTCAAGGTGTGAAACAGCTCATTCTTTTTACTCATCTGGTTAGTGAAATGTTATTCAATTTTTTTTTTTTTTTTTTTCCTCTTTATTAGGCATCCATGTTGAAGGACCTTTCATTAGCTCAGAAAGAATCGGAGCCCATCCAAAGCAGCTAGTGAGGGACTTTGATAACGGATTTTCTGATGTGCTTACCACTTATGGAGACATTACAAATATAGCAATTGTTACTTTAGCTCCTGAGAAGAAGAATTCCTTGAGTGTGATTGAAGACTTCTGCAAACGTGGAATAGTTGTTTCAGTTGGTACGTTAACTGCATCAATGTTTGAAAACAATTTGTAAACTAAAACCTGTCATAAGTTATTTTCAATTATTGTTAGGCAAATCAAATTTTTGATGATCATTATCAAAGTGTTAAATGTTACTACAACATCTAGTCAGGGTCCACTCCAGTGGATAATTATGCTTTTATGTGTAGGACTGCACCTAAACATAGGAAGTTATTTTTTTCAGTTAGAGCAGTTCTCAATTATTTTAATAAAAATTGTTTCAGCTTTTAGTCAATTGTTTTATAGTTCAGAAAATAGTTTAAACATATAAAGTTTGTAAAAAAAAAAAGTTATTTATGACCAATAGAAAACTCTCTGTAACAAACCTATTTTTTCCAGAACTTTGAAATGTTTCCAGTGTCAGAGACTATAGCTAATAAATGTTGTTGTTTTATTAGTTTATCGTAAATTTCTCATTTTGCCTGTTCCAAAAATTTATATTACACTGAAATATTATTTTTCACTGAACTAGCATAATAAGGCTACAGGTATACTGTAAAATGAACTATAGTTTTGTCCTGACTTTAACAACTGATATTTTTAACATTTTTTTTAATAGGTCATTCCAGTGCAAACTTGGTAGAGGGTGAAGAAGCAGTTCGATCAGGGGCTAGGTTTATCACACACCTCTTTAACTGCATGCTTCCCGTGAGTTGCAATGTTTTGCTTAATCATCTATTTTTAGTAATGGATCTTTTTATTAAAATAACTTTTAAAATAAAAACAGATTTTATATTCCATCAAATTAAAAATCCTAAACAAATCTTAATGTCATAAGGAAATTAAATCAAGATAAATTTATTTATTTAGGCATTTTTGTATAGCGCTTACCTTACAGCTCTAAGCGCTTTACAATTATTAAAAATATGTAAACTATTTAAACTGCTAAAGTAAAATAAAAAATGAAAATTCATGTCTTTCCTGTTAAAAGTCTGTTATTTTATTAAAAATTAAAATTAAATAAAATGATATTTAATCTCTAAATTTAAATAGAAAAATAAGTCAATTATCATCATCTTGTAGCCCCCTAACGCTACCCAATTATCTTTCTCCACTTATTTCTATATTTCCCCACTCTTTCAATGTCCTCTAAGCCAATGTCGAATATAAACAATCATTCTTCCCATGCACAATAATTGCTTGGAACCACCTGGACAATGCCGCCGTGGACTTCAATCTAGAGCTTCAAGGCTGCCCTGGCATTGGCTAGGAGCCGTTAGGATAGCAGCATCGCTTCCCCCAACCGTTGCACATATGCCAGTACATGGATGCAGCAACGTACTCTACCAGAACCCATTTGTCCCCTTGAGTTTCACATCAGAGCTTGCCTGGTATGGCTTTAAATGCCCTTCCCTATGTAATTCACAGCCACTTCCTTTCTATGTGGTGTTTGTTTGATAAAGTTTTGGTCTTTTGCCCCAAGTTTGCATTTATGTCTCGGTCTGCATTGTAACGTCTTGTAATTTTGAACATTTTAATAGGTTGGAGATAATACAAGATGTTACAAAACAAAATGAGTAACAAAAGCAAACTTGGGGCAAAAGACCAAAACTCTATCAAGACAACACAACATAGATTGCTTATGAAAACTGGATCAAGGAATGAAATGTTTTCAGAAATTTAATTTACAAGCAGTGAATGGAAATGACCTTTTATTTCTTTTGTCTATTAGTTTCACCATCGAGACCCACATCTTGTTGGCTTGTTGACCAGTGAAAAGCTTCCACGCAATCGCCACATTTATTATGGTATTATTGCTGATGGCATCCACACACATCCTGCTGCACTTCGCATAGCTCAGAGGGTTCACCCTAAAGGTCATTGAAAAATATTTGTGTTTCATCTGGTCTAGAAGTTGCTTTAGAAAAAACATGATGCCATAATTTATAAAAGCCATTTTTTAAAACAATAAATTAGTATGTCAGATTACTTAACTTACTTATGGAAATACTTATTGTAAATGATAGAGTGTATGCAGTTATTTTAAACTTTTATTTTTTTACATAAAAAATATTTTGTGAAAATTGTATGCATGTGAACAATCCTTGTCTTTTTTTCTGATTATGCAGGCACCGTACTCATTACTGATGCCATTCAGGCTATGGGCTTGCCTGATGGTACATATCCATTTGGTGAGCAGACCATTGTTGTTGAGGGTCAGCGTTCATACATTAAAGGCACAAACACATTAGCTGGAAGGTAAATTAACTTCGTCTGATCTGTGTTCTGTAGGGAAACCTGGTGTGTTGTTGTGGAAGTATTGTACAGTTAAATCCAGCACATAGATCTTAAAACCGCATTAAGACATTACCTAATTATAATTAATTATTATTTTCCATTTGGAAAATGCCTGCCAATGCCTCCCAGCTTTACCTTTTTAAAGGAGGTGTAACCACTGTTGTTATATGGAATATTGTAAGCTGGCCCACTCAAGGGTTGATGGTGAGACTTAAGTTTACAGCTGCAGAAGCTAGGGACAAACCTGGACATCCATTGTGGCCTGATACTTCAGAAACCTCCCTACTTATTGAATTTTCATAAAGTTCCTGTTCCACTTTGCATTTAATACCGGTAACTGGAAAAGAAATTTTCTTTCTATTTTCTCAATGATATTCCAATAGATTTGTTGTGGGTAAGAAGTTATGAATGAAATTATCCATTGAAACTATCTAATTTGAGGAAGTTGGCAATAGACAGGAATATTTTAGCTCCCTTGATGTTGGGAATCAAGATGCTGATAATTTATTATTTATTTATTTTGATAAAATTATGTTCCCAAGTCTTGGTTGTAAATTTGAGAAAATTGTGACTAATTAATGATGTTTTTTATCTTTTATTTCTTTGATTTCAGCACTGCAACTCTCGACACCTGTGTTAGGTTATTTGCTAAACAAACAGGTAACTAAATTATATTATACATTTGTATATTTTAAATATTACCTATGAGGAATCTAAGATTTCTAATTTTAACAAGACTTCAACTAAATTGCAAAATTCTGAAACTTTACCTACATGTGTCCTATGTGTACGTTGCAGTTAAATGTGATCAATTAAAATTTATTTTCTTAAGTTTGATGAACTTATAATGTTGACTGCAGCATGTTGTATCCTGCAGAAATTTATTTTAAAAATTTTGCTAAGAACACAAATATTACTTTTCCCATGCAATTACTCTTAGTCTTAGGCTGGTGCTGAGATGTGAACTTGCCCATTAAGCCAGGTTTGGAATAATGTATTTTAATATTTTAATGTTACAGACTGTGGACCTGAGTTAGCACTGGAAGCAGCCTCTCTACATCCTGCTCAGCTGATGGGCATTGAAGATAGAAAAGGAACTTTGAACTTTGGAACAGATGCTGACTTTGTTTTGCTGGATGACAGTTTGAATGTCAAGGCCACTTACATTGCTGGCAAATGTGTTTACACTGCTGATGCAATATAAAAAGTATATTTTGGATTGAATTAAGCATTTTAAAAAAAAATTAATCCATTAATTTATCTCAAGATTTTCTTACACTGTGCTGGAGATTTGTCTGAATGAAATAAGCTTTAACTTTACCAATATTTGTACAGAAATATACTTCTCATATTTTTACATTCCATTATTTAAAAGTGTTTACTGTTACCACCAATGTTACCCTTCTTAGTTAAGATTGATCACCTTAATTTCAAAGTAATTTTAGCCATACACAAACGTATATTGCCTGGTATGTTTTGTTTCATTCACTTATATTACATCATAGATTTTTTAGATCAGAAGTTGAATTCTTGTTTTGGGCAACTGGCTGGGACAGTCCGCAGGTCTAAAGTGCAGAACCTTTAGGGTTTCAAGTAGAGCTCGGCACACCCCCAGGCCATTTTACAAGAATTCCATGGTGAACCAAAAGTGATTCCATGCAAAAATATACTAAATAACACTGTATTCATAATGGTTGTGTAATGGCTTAAAGTAAAAGGTGTGACATCACACTGTATAGCTCATTATGAACTGCCCTTATTGGACACATTTCTGTAATTGTGTTGACAAACTTGGTAATAGGCCAACCAATGCCCCTTTTTGCATCAGTTAGGTTTTATCATCGATGTACCTATATATAGTCTGTGCTTTTCCTAGTCTTGGAGACATGCGCTGCACACGAGTGTGCAAAGCTCTGGTTTAAAAAATAGTATTGTGGTTTAGACATGGTTTTTAAATCCCAGCAATGCCAAATATAATTTCAATATAATCTCAGTCTCAAAATTAACTCGGTGGGAATTAAGAGTGAATTATTGTAGAGTGTGCAAATAATAAATGATTGATAATCATGGTCTGAGAAACTAATTCTTAAAATGATTGCATAATTCAATGGACTGAGGCAGCCTGTTTAAAAGAAAACAGCACTATAATATTATAAGAAAATTCCACCTTGCAAGGATCATTTATTGTTTCAAACTAGTGGTTGATGAATGCATTTACAAATGAACCTTCTTTACACCCAAATGGAAATCTCATTTTATCTTAGATTATCTCATCTTTACTGATGTTTGCTAGTAAGTTGAAGACATGTATTTCCTTATTCAGTTATTGGGCTTTACTTTTGACTGTACATTTTTATGAAATAAGTTCACTAATTAAAAACAATTGACAGCAAATTACTTTGCCTTGCTTATGAAAATTTAATTCTTAGAACTTCTGTAAACACAAAGACAGTCATTTTATAAACATTTTTTAATATTTTTCCAGAGCAACTTATATATAATATATAAGGGCAAGTACATCATTATAAAATCCATAAATGAAAATGAAGACATTCAAGATTTTAAAAAGAATTCAAATGAGTTTACAGTCCTATTAAAATGAGGCCATTAAGAAATACATTAGCAAGATCTTCAGTTATTTCAAATACAACAACAAAAAAACATGAGTATATCTATCTTATTTCATTATTTTATGTCATCATAAAATCATTTTTTTAAAAAGGTACTAAAACTTCTAAAAAGCATAAATGTAAGAAATTTCCTAAAATATGTATAGGGCAGCACAGCATTGTATAAAGAACAATTAAAAAAAACAAAATTAAATTAAAGCTGTTAACAGAAATTTATCAAGCATATGCAAATTGTTACTGAAACCCTAGCCAAATAAACACTTCCATGCAAAAATAGACAAGAATCTGCATAATTGTGTAGTTAAATCTTTACAATAATTAGCTAGATCTTCAGCTAAAACATAAGGTAACGAACAATAGAAACTGACATCGGTTCACTACAAAATACATTCAGTAAGGAATCCAGAAAAGCATGCTCCCAATCTGCTCAGGGGTCAGCAGTAGAACATCAGACCAACACCTGCTTTTCAATAATTTTTCTAGTACACTTTTTTTAAAAACAGTTTTAAACAAAATGAATTCAAAACATGTTCTTACACTTCAGACAATCCAATCCTAATCAATGCAATTCCCTGAACTGTAGAAATCTTAGCAGTGAATTAAAATTTATCAATCATTTAAAATAGGATAGCATTGAATGGAAGAAACAGGACAACAATTTTTTTTAAAAATAACTTTACACCAACTAAAGCTGGGAATACATTTTGCAGTTTTTAATCAATTCAAATGTAAAATTAGCATTCCCTTGAGATTTATTCTAGTATTTGGTAAAAAAAAGTTAGTAGAACTGGCCCAGATGACAACTACTACTTGACTCTATTTGTGAAATGACCTTAAAAAACATCACAAACAGACTGTAAAATACAAAATTTAATATAGTGCTAGTAGTACCGGCTGGCAGCTTGATTACCCTCTTAAGTCTATTTTTGTGTTCTTTATAGATAAAAAATTTAAAAAATAATGCCCACCAGAGTGTTAAAAGTAAAGGAGTTGATTAATGCAGGGTCTTAATAAAGAAAGCTGAATTCTTAGCCATAAGTTAATATCCATGTGAACCTAGTAAGATGTTGGAAGACTAGTGAATTTTGAGCTTTCTTTTCATGAACACAATGATAATGACATGAAATAATGACATGAAATGATGACATTAAACTGTTAAATTGAGTCTTTAAACATATACCGGTAACTGTAAAAGAACAAATACTTCAAATGCTGAAAATGCCCTGATTAGCAAAACAACCATTGTCCATGTTCCATCAAAGCACACAGGTAATAAGTTGATTGACAACCATTGTCCATGTTCCATCAAACCACACACCAAGTTGATTGGGGAACTTTGTGCAAACTTTTATTTAAAACATTGAGTCACAAACAATAAAAAATTCCTGTCAATACAAAATTTGATGCAGACAGCAATTTTTCATCATCAAAAAAAAATGTATAAAAATGCTATTAAATCAGGAAAAAAACATGTAAGGAATATCTTTATCATTAATCTGAACCAACTTGTAACTGTGATTCTGTAATTCTTGGAGACAGATTGTAAAAAAAAAATCTGCCGGTAATACATAATATATGGAGACACTGAGCATTTAAATGAAGGATATGTTTAGCCGATATAGAAAGTAGCTTTTGAAAATCATTTTTTATGCTTTGTCCAAATTTTAACACAAAAAATACAATACCCGTTTAATGTTTATTTCAATAAATTTTTTAGAAGAATGATATCACTAGTCTTCTCTCCTCTACATAACCTCTATGCCCTAATCAACACAACCTCTCTAGCAAGTCTATGATACTCTCTTAAAAAAAAAAAAAAAAAAGTCTGTCGCATTTAGTTGGAAACTTCCAATTACTATGCTGTTAATAAATGAATGTTTTATTTCAATAAATTTTTTAGAAGAATGATATCTCTAGTCTTCTCTCCCCTACATAACCTCTATGCCCTAATCAACACAACCTCTCTAGCAAGTCTATGATACTCTCTTAAAAAAAAAAAAAAAAAAAGTCTGTCGCATTTAGTTGGAAACTTCCAATTACTATGCTGTTAATAAATGAATGCTGCTGCCTGGATTCCATTTCTATTGGAACTTCACTCACACAGAAAAGAGGGCCATCACCACTCTAGCCTTTTTACAGGATATTCTCCACTTAAGCAAGCTGTGCAGTGGCCAGATTCCTGGTCTGCTTTTATCCCTTCAGAAACAGCTCTCTTGAGTCCATCCAATGACAAGTAATGCACAGAGTCTGCCCCTGGAAAATAATTAGTTTAACAATTTCCTTTTAAATCGACACATTTAAAAAATGTTTGTATTTACAGAACTAATTTTTATATAATCACTAGCAATAACCCGCCAAACAATGATGGCAACAATGCATGAACTTCCTTACTTGAGAAACATGCATTCAAGTATTGCAGTGTATAGGAATCTCATTAGTGCTAACTTCTGGGAATTTATTTTGCGTGCCTATTGAACACAGCATTACAGCCATAATTACATACTTAATGATATGATGAAAGACATTGCAGCTCAAAAGTTATGAAAATTTAAATATCTTGTATGTAAATTACATAATGACTAAAGATAAACTGAAAATAAGTTCTTAAATAATCTGACAGAACTTTTAATTTTTAAATTTAAGCTGCTTTTGCATTATTTGACGACAATTTACACATACCGAATTCTTTAGCTATTTGATCCAGTGGGATAATGTTAGCAATAAGTTCTTCTTTTGTTGGGATGTTTATTCCCATGTAGCAGGGATATTTAATTGGAGGGGAGGCCACTCTAATATGTACCTGAAGAAATAAAATCAAATCTTTATAATTAGAGTTTTTTTTTTAATGGCTGGTCTGAAATGTAATTTTTTTAAACATTTACTTTCATGATATGATGATTCAGATGCTCTTTTATAAATTCTATAGTTATAGTTAAAAATGAAACATTAAAACAATAAAAAAAATTGCATCACTAACCTCTTTAGCCCCTGATTTCTTTAGAAGTGCAACTATGGCTGCCATAGTGTTGCCTCTGACTATTGAATCATCAATAAGCACTAATCGTTTTCCATAAAAATTATCAACCAGCGGGCCAAATTTCTTAGCCACACCTAGTTTGCGAAGTCGTGTGCATGGCTGGATGAATGTTCGTCCAACATATCGGTTTTTGCACAGGACCTCTAAATATGGGATGTTGAGCTGTAAATTTTAATGAACGCACTCAAAATCAAAGACTTCTAAGTGAATGAAAACATTTTTGACATCAGTAAAGACGTGAGATTTTAATTAATAATAAAGTCATTTATTAAGACAGAAAAAGACTTCTCAAAGAAACATTTCCTTTTAAAATAAAAGAACTACTCTTCCTATCCTAAAAAAATGATAACTTTCTTTCAGTGCATTCAAGAGTTTAAAAGGAAACAAATTTAATAGTCCAAAAATTTACAAACGTGGCAGAGATTTGAATGAAGTGAAAAAATGACAGGCCCAAACTTACTTGTGCTGCATATTCCATGGCAGCTGGTGTTGCAGACTCAGGGACAGTGCTGACCAGGTCTACATCAGCTGGCCACTCTAAAGCAAGCTGCTTACCACAACGCCTTCTAACACTTGCAACCATTTGGCCTAAAATTGAAAACCAAGGTTTGAACAGCAACAAACAAAAAAATCAATATAATTTATGCTTAACTTAATATTGTACTGTAAGCCATTTAGGGATGGTAAATGAGAATTAAACCTATAAAACAAAGAGTGACATTTATTTATACCTTCAAATACAGTGTCAGGCCTTGCAAAATATACATATTCAAATATGCAGAAAGCTGGGGGTTGTGCTTCAGGTCTTGGGACAATGGCTTTTGAAAAAATGCCTTGTTTGGTCACCTCAACAATTTCTCCTGTTGATATAAAATCCATGTCAACAATATAAACCGATACCAAGATGTAATAACGGTGCCGTAGCACCCATTACAAAATTAACTTTAGTATAAAGCAAAGAGAAATAACTCCATTTTGACCAAATGTTGCCTGACTTGAAAAGTTTATTAAAAATCAATCTTTCCTCTCATTATACAAAAAAATTCTGATGATTTTAAAGACAAAAATACATTCTAATTAAAATAAGTCTCCATTAGAACCAGGTACACCTAAAATTCTTCAATGTGAATTGAAGGTAATTGGTTAGACCAGTCAGATCTATCTATATTAAACACCATCTTCATCTTCTGACCAATCAGTATCAAGGATATACATTTTTTAAACTAATTCAATATAATTTTTATTTCCCTTATCTAATTCTGCAAGTACTTCTGCATTAAATTCATTACTGTCGAGACTAACAGCCGATGTAGTTGCATTGAAGCAATCTAAAAGGGCAAACACCATTTAGCCTAAAACTACACATCCCTATTTCTTTTTAAAAATTAAAATTAGTTTAAAATCAAAAGTAGCATAAAATCAAGCACACAGCCACCAAACTCCAACGAAACATAAATAGGCTCTTTGTAACTCCTTAGTAAGAAGAGTTACCATCACTAGGCAACCCTGAAAATGGAGTGCTGTTAACGAACAGATTTGGTGTATCAGATTTGGTATAATGCAACTGAGGCGTAAGAGGTTGGAAAGCCGTAAGAGGTTGGAAAGCCGTAACACTACTGAGAAATTGTCTTTTAAAAATTACTAAATATGATCACCATAATTTTTTTATATGGCAAGGTACAGACTAACCAATCATGGAACTGGTTCAAAAATTACTAGAGCAACACACTTATTTAAGTAGGTACGTTGATTAGAAAATTAAAACTTTTTGTAAAAATAAACCAAGGGCATAGTTGAAAAGAGCAAATTTTAAAAAAAATTATAACACCAAAATCATATTTTTAGCTGTTGTAGTTTTAAAGTTATGAATTTTTAAAGTACGACCTCGTTTGTCATTTTTAACATGGACTGCATCTCCACATTCTGTAACCAAATTCCGCTGTTCGCATCATGAGCTATATAACTCTCATTTTAATGATAATTTTATGCGACTTTTATTTTCAGAACTAATTCTGTATTAACAAAAAATTTTAATATTGTTATACAATTATATATAAATTATAGTTTATCTAACTATGCACTATGTATAACAATAAATTTAAAATAATGGATTAATATATGGCTTTTCTGTTTACCAAATCTTCAGCGTCCATTATACTGGTATATGCTATATAGTCTATATAAGGCAACGCACCCCCTAAAATGTTGTTTGGGATCTACTTATTTTGAACTTTCAACTTTAGCACATGACTAATTAACTAAAGCTTTCCCTGACCAATGGTGTTAATAGTTTTTGCAAACGGCAAACTCTTATGAGTGAAACTTGAGGTAGTACTACGGCATAACATTAGGCAAATGGCTGTGAATGGTTTCCCTGACTATTTGCACACGGTCAATTCTGATAGTTAATAATATGGACTCTACCGGCTTTTTAAAGCTCAAATTTAAAAATTCTAGTTTAAATGTCTTCAAAATGCATTCTGAAACACAAGTTATCAAATATTTTGATGAATATATAGAGGTAATAATGAATATTTCCTAAGCTAAGTATCGGCGTTTTCCGTCATTTATAAGGGGGCGGATTCATTAATCCAAAATGGCATGTGCGACCTTTGCATAATGAGGTCAACGTTGAGGAGAATTGTGAAAATGTTTCATGAGCTATCTCAATGAAATTTTGCACACGTGCATTTCAACAAATTATATGAAAGACCTACTTTGAATATTTAGACCAAATTTTTTAATGCGAAGATGCCTTATAATGACATACGATTTTCCTTACTTAACGTTGCTATAAAGAAAAAATTAACTCAATGGGAATGTAGTTCAACATTTCTCCTAACGTTAATGGGCGGAGTCAGACCTTAATTATGGGTCAAAAGGACTCCTAATTTATTCAAATTACATGCACATGAAAAAAATTAAAAACTCGGATTCTATTGTGCAGAGGCCCATTTCCGATACAAATTTACTAGGAGTGTCCCTTGCTTCGGCAGAGTACCTAATTTAGGTCTATTTTTTTACTCACTTGTTTAACATTGTTTCCATATTTATAGACCTTGACCAAAGTTTTATGATAGATTACAGTATTTTCAGTTAATATATTTTGTACCAATATGACTAAACACAAGTTAGTTAGCATTTTTGGTTTGGATACTTTCGCTTGTCCAATTCTTAATGTAATGTTAATGTAAAATTGCCTAAATTTACCTGGCTGAACATCTCTAACATATTTGGCTCCCATTGCATGGAAGGTACAGGACTCAGATGCCACAATCCATGCTTCACACTCATGTTGTGAGACTTGTCGATTTTCTATAAAAAAAAAATATTAAAGGATGATAGAAAAATGGGAGGCAAAAAAAGTGTGCATCCTTAACTTTTAATGTATTTTAGTGATCATAAATAATTTTTAATTTAGATTTTTTAATTTAGAGTTTATTTCAAATTCTATATAATAAAATTCACCTTTTCATTCCATTTTCCTTTTGCTCTTCCAAGAATTTAGAAAATTTTTAGTTTGAATACAGGCATAGCTGAACAATATTGTGGAAAGACTCCACCAGCAATCTTAAATAAATAATGCCTTAAGTTCAGCACAGTCTTATGTGTACTTGCAAGTCCACAAAAATATTTTCACCCATTGACAATGAACATGTTAGAATTAGAAGCAATTATTGAAAAAAGGTGAAATGTTGTGCTCAAGAATGAAGCACCCTATTAATAAAGCGTGCTAGATATTCCTGTATATGTACATGATGCACAGACATCATGTTGACCAGCAAGGAATCTGGATGATAATTTGTAGCTGCCCTATCAAATTTTCAAAATGTACATTTCCTTACAAATTATAGTAAAGAAATGTCTCCCTTTTATTTATAAATTAAAGCATAATAGAATCTCAAGTGCATAAAAAATTCAAATACAGTTAAAGTATCAAGTCTTAAATACAGGACAGGGACAAATAATTATTTACACAGCAACAGCATAAGTTAGTAAATGCTGATTGCAATCTTCAAATTTTAAAGATTTAAAATAATTTTTTTAAAAATAATGTAAATATAAGAAGGGTCTCCAATGGTTACTTTGGTTAATGAGCACACTACGTGGATAATATTTGTTCAGCTCTGAACTAAATGGTTTATAAAATAACTGAGAAACAAGGGTATATACAACATAGTATTATTTATTTTGTTATGACAAGTACAGAAATTATTGGGAGGAAAATACCAAACACGTTTTACTGTCTCAATATTTGGAGCCTTGAAGAAAACAGTTTTTATCCTTAATGTTCAGCATAGTCACGTAATCAAGATTCTTAAATTCAGTTGGTTAATATCCTTCCAGGAAACTATAAAATCATTCCACAAGCTTGCCGTTTTCTATTCTAGGTGCTTGTCTCACTGAATGTGACAAATTTAACAGGTCAGGCTGGTCGATATGACAAGTTGTGGGATTAGTTCCTAATTTTAAAAAAACATCCCTCTTCATCATTAAAACTCTGATTTCCCTGTTAACATTTGTAAAAATGTATGCAGAGTTTCTTGTCCCTCAAACAATATTGATTGAGAACACATTACATTCGTTCTTCTATATAATATCTAACTTGATCTCTACTGTGATAGGGTTTCTTTTGCCCATGGAGCTAGGTAATCACAGGGTGATTATGAAATTGCAACAGGAAGTACGTAGCCCAAATATGCAAAGTGAAATTGTGCACTATGAATAAAATCTGTATCTAAAAGGTTGAACTAATTTTCTGATCTGGTATTAGAAACTTTACATTAAGCAATAATGAAAGACATTTGGGTTCAGGTCTATACCATCCAAAAAGTAATAGGGGAAAAAAAAGGACAGCAAAAAAATTGCAACGTAGCAGGAAAACGTTTAAAATATCCAACAACTTTTTTAAATTCCAGATCAAAGTTTACTATTACTGATTTCACTTCACCGCTGAGGTTGATGTAGATTTCAGGATTTTTCTGTCTTCTCTCCTAATTTTATTTAAATTAATTTTTCTTCAACTAGGCAGGACTGTTTGATCATATTAAAGTTTAGAAATGGTAAATGTACAATTTTAATCAAATTTACATTTTGATATCTGTGGACCAACCGTTTCATTTCAACCAAGTTAGTCTAAGTTTCAGTATGATTTTTCATTCAGAGCTTAATAAAGTTAGACAACATTTTTCCAGTTTCGTTCAGTTAGATCTAGCCTTTAAATATTATTATCAGTCAATCTTGGGTAGGTTTCATATTGGGGTGAAATTTAGATGAAAAAAAATGGCACTAGAGAAAGAAAAAGTTCCTTTTTGCTATGAAAATATCAATACATTAGTTTTTTTTAAAACTTACTTATTAAAGAAAGTTTGTAAAATATTAATTTTTAAAAAAGCTGTAAAAAAATACATTCTTTTAAATTAATTATCACATTTTCATAATACACTAACCTGGTCTCCAAGTATCACAACTTGTTCTAACTTTTGAAGGAACAAAATTATAAAATGTTTCATTTTGTTAAATTGTCGCAAGTTGTTGGATGACTACCTAAATTGTTAAGTCTCATCAAAATGTGCACACAATTGCAGATAAAAGATAAAACAAACAAAATGTCACACGATGAACCTACCTGAAGATTTTCTGAATAACACTGTAAAGTGTCAACAATAAAGTATAAAGATTGGACCAGGAACGTATCAGAAAAAAACAACAACATTTTTTTCAACACATGTGACTGGGTAATGTACAGTTATGTCTGCATTATCTATTATGCAAAGCTCTGTTTAATTATAAACAACAAGGACTTTGGAGCAATAAAACCATCCTCACAAGTAAAATAAGCTTTTATACAACATATTTTCAAAAATGTATTTTGATTTCTACTTTTCAAAATAAAATAAACACAAATTTAATGATTAATTAAGCACATGCTTTTCTTTCTGCATGGTCGAGCTGCACATTTATTTTGCCAGAGCCCACAGCAAAGCAAATAAAAACAGCTGCAATAAAATTTTAACAGAAATGATGACAGATTAAACCCCAGGTTTAATAGCTAAGATTATTGAGTCTTCATGCTGCTTACCAGTGAAGGCATCAGTGGGTAGTAGTTTTCCAATGCAGAGAGGACGATTGCCATAGGAATCACGCACAGCCCAAATTCTGTCTTTATTCATGATGAGAAGAGAATAGGAAGCAATGGTCTGTTGCATCATTGTTGTAATTCTGAAAAAAATAAATTGTATTGAAATTATCTTTTACCAATGCCAGAAAAAAGCATGAGATTTTAAAAAATAAAAAACTTGGTTATCTGTAAAAGTGATATGTGGAGCTTAGAAATAGAAAGTTGTAAACAGGTTTCTAAAACTTTCTCATTTTTTTAGTATAGGCTGTGATCATCATACGACTTAAATTTTGATGTCATCAACATAAAAGAATTATTATTCATTATATGAAACAGAAAATAATAATATATGAAAAATAAAAGCATCGATTTAATCCAACACTAGCAACCAAATCATTATTCGTGCCACTTTTCTCTAACGTACCGTCCCACCCAGTTGGGTCCATTCGGCTCACCACATTCTGGAGTATGTGTTAAAAGCTGGGTTATTAACTCACTGTCCGAGCTAGTAGACAAGCCGACGCCATGTTTCAGTAACTGGCGATTAAGTAAAGTGATAGTTAAAAGACAACATGAAACAGAAACACAATCAGAAAAAATTATTTAGATTACATGCATGCCACTTAAATGAATTCACATCAGTCTTGGTCATCTTCGCATGCAAAGGATGAGCAACAACATCAGAAGATTAATAGACCAATGGTTCAGTGGTATAAATGAGGCACAAATTTGAAGTTTAAACACCTATTTTAAAATGTTTGCATTAGAATTGTTAAAAAAAAAGAGTAATTTTTTTAGCCTGATTCTATCAATTATTAAAATAGAATGGATATTGATAACTGCATTTTTTCTTTCATGTTACTTAGCACACTGAAAGGCAGACACAGCCTGATTTTATAGGTATCAAATGGGAGAAACTGTTGTAAAGGATTCTAACTGGGCAGTTCTAAGATAAAATTACTCTTTTCAATTCAGTAGCTATACGCAGTGCTCATAGTATCTATTAATGTAAACTTTAAAAACCATAAGATTACCTTGTTTTTAATAGTATGGGCATTCACTAGCTCACCATTGTGGGCAACAGCTATAAGCCCATGAAGGCTTTCAACAACAAACGGCTGTATGTTGGAAGTATCTGAAAGTCCTTGTGTTGAATACCTCACATGACCTGTTCAAACATTATTGTAGTTTAAAAAAAAGACATTTTCAACGCAAAGAAAAGCAAATCAATTTTCTTTTTGTGCAATTTATTGATCAAAACAAATTTAGGCAACACATACAGGCTCTGTAAAGTGATTATTGATAAGCTGTCAATAAAATTGTAATTAATATAAATCTTACTATTTCATAATCAAATGATTCTCAAAATTAGGGATACTAGTTTTTAAAAGCCAAACTGATTTACTCCAATGAACTCGAAAAGTAAATGTCTAATTTCTCAAATTAAAACTGCCAATCAGGATCTGAATGTATGAATATACAAACCAATGCCAAGGTTTCCCTTCAGGTTGATAATATCCTCATCGGTAAATGCACCATTAACAAGCCCCATGGCTTTTCTTGTAACAAATGGGTCATTTAATCCACCCATTGAAGTGACAATACCAGCACTCTCCTGCCCCCTGTTGACCACAAAATAAGTTTTTAAAATTATTTATGGACAAAAAAATTATGAGGGTTACATTATCCTAATACTAATACAAATGAATTATTGAAAAACATTAAATACATTTTGGAATATGCTGGTGTTGGCGTTTAGAAACTGGCCAGAACACGATTTCTCAGTCATTAACTCATATGTCTCAAGATTCTTTTGTTGTTGGGATAAGCAAGATTTCTAAACTCCTCCAAACTTCCATCAAAAGGCCAAAAGACTGATTGCCAAGTCACCCAGCTGTTTGGTTGGCTTGATGAGCTTGTACATGATCTGCTTGCTTATAAATTCTTTTTGGCATTTGTTTTTGAAGGCTTCATAGAAAATAAGATAACCCTCAGAATCATTCTAGGAGCACTGACTACACCAAAATAGGTCCTAGTAATTATTTATTGACGGAGAATTCAAAAATGTATTATCAGTATCAAAACTAAAAGCTATTTCTTCCATATGCATTACATGATTACCTGTGCTGTAGGCCAACGAGTCCCAAATGAATAAGATGAGAAAGGTTGATATCATTGCCAGTATTTGTAGCAACCATCCCAAACAGTCCACATTCCTCTCTCATTCCAGACTCTGGTCCGAAGGAAACTATTGTGCTCTCTTCATTTCTAGTAACTGTTGGTGTGGACGCCCCTGATGCCATCCTGGCAATAGGGATGAGTGGAAATGTGAGTTTTCTTTGAAAACTGTGAGCTTGTAACCCAAAGGCAAGGAACTAAAGAAAGAAAGCCAAATATAAATAATCCCTATTCAAAAGCATTACTTTGATCAACTTAATACCAAAATACAAAATCAAGTTTCTACTCATTGACAATGGACTACTGTACCTCTATTTTAAAAAAAAATGAGTGAAAAATGTGGTATTTAAAATTTTTTTTTTATTTAATATTATATTATGTTGTAATTATTATCTTTGCATGTTAGCCTCATGAAAGCTTAATAAATTATCACTCAGCTTACCCCTTAATCATATGGGCCCAAACTAAATGATTAATATTATCACAGTTAGACACTCTTCTAAGCAGGACCATGTGAAAGGGGGCAAAAGGGATGACCACCCCGGGCACTTACCTCAGGGGGCACCAAATCGTAATATATATTTATATATATAGTGTAGGCTTAGGGCATACACCTACCACATTTCCCTGAAAATTAGACCAAAACTAAAAATAAACCCTAGCATGCTAAACATGCAGGAGGAAATGTAAGGCCTATGCTTAAAATAATCCCTATCATCAACTTCTTTGTGTAACAAAACAGCTGTTGCATCAGACTTCAGAGAGTGCTTTTGGCAGAGGGATACCAAGAGAATACAATGGAAGCAGCCAATAACCTCAGTCAACATGTGGAGGAGGGCAATGTTAAGATTAGCAAGTGTGGAGTACGTCGGCAAACCAGTATTTTCTGAGCTGGAAGGCATCATCAGTGAATGGATTTTGGACAGGAGAGCAAAGGCTCTGGTTGTGCACAGGGCCGACATGCAAGCATTTTCCCTTGCAATGGGACCACAGTTAGAAATATTCACAGAATAATTTAAACCATCATAACAGTGCCTCAGTGGCTTCCTTCAGCATTATGAACTGTCTTTAAGTGGATCGACAACGCTGTTCAAGCTGGAATATAGTGAAGTTATTAAATGTGCACTTGCATTCAAGTCCTTTGTTGATGGCATCGACTTTTCCAAATTACAACTTTCCAACATGATTTTGATGGATGAAACTGCACAACGTGTTTATGGGCCAAGTTTCTCATATGACAATTTATCAGAGGGATGCCTCATCAATCTACATTCCCTCCACTGGTAACAAAAGTGCATGTTACCTGCATTTGGTAAATTTTGTCTGCATGAAAAAAAAGCCCAACCTCTAATCATCAGTAAGTGCAAGAGAAGGTTGAACGTGTCTTAGGCATTAATATTCTTGAAACAAAAAAAAAGCTTGGTGCACACAATCAGCTATAAGGAATTGGGTCAATTTAATGCTACCACTCATAAGGAAGTGGATTGATTTAATTAATTCTGCCACTTGTTTTGCGAGGTGGCCAAAGACATCTGCTAATCTGAAATTCAGCCAGCACTCACAGCGCTTAAGACATGAAGAACTTCCCTGAAGAGAGAGGAATAGATCAAATAATGTTTCCTGCTAGAAAGACTCCCATCTCCAGACTCATGATATTGCAATAAACAGGCCATTCAAGGACCATTTGCGCATGAAAATCAATGACTAAATTAAATGTAGAGATATCACCTTGGATCTTCGTGAAGCCTGGCCTGCAAGAGGTCATTACTGGGGGGAACAATTCATGGTCATGGGATAAAATCACCGACAGCTGTGTTGTCAAGGCACTACAAGCAAGCTACATGGACAAGAAATGCTAATTTAAGGAGAGTTCTATTACTGCGTGAAATAAGAAATTGAGGTCAATTGTTCTACAAGAAATGATGTCGCAAGAAATTCAGGTAGTAATTCATGATTTAGAGATTTATGATTATGTTCCAGAAGAAGATGCCAGACTATATTTGAATAAAAAATAGATATTTGTACATGAATCGACATGAGTAAAAACAGAGTTTGTATACGAATAAATATAACAAATTTTACATGAGTCAATGAGAGAAATAAGACATCCCCTGATAAAGCCCTTTGTGATTTTCTGAGATAAAAATAATATAAGACCCTGTCTTATTTATGAGGAAACATGGTAGATATATCCTCTATCATTTTATTGATGAAACGGGAGTAGGTGTGCCATTTTCAGGCTTCAACTTACTCTGGGCGTAAATTTTCCTCTGCATGATCCAGGTACTTTATCATTTATCTAGCCTAAATAATCTAACAAAGTGCTTAGAATTTATAATTTAAAATTTGTACTGCAAATTAAAATAGCCACTAAAGTAAAAAGTAAAGTAGTTTGCCAGAAGGCAAAGAAGTCATATTTTATTAATAATATTAACCTAAGAAATATTTTGTATAATCTTTAGCTGTCCTGTAGCTGTGTTAAAGTTAAATTAGCATTGATTATTATTAGTAGTAACTATTAATAAACGATACAGTATTGACAGTATGATACAGATACACAACAGTTTACAGTTAGTCTATAGTTATAGTAACAGATTAAGAATCGTTAAGTAAGTAAGTAAGATAAGGCATCATAAGGCATGTTCATAAATAAATACTTAATAATAAATTGATCATAAATTCTTACTTCCTAAAAAATAAAATAGTTTAAAACTCTTCTAAAACTCTTGGCGGCATTTAAAAATTCGTCTGTGATGCTATAATCCGACCTGAGTTATTTATACCTATTTCAATTAAGCCTATGGTTCTTTAAAAGGTGCATCCAAAAAATACACGTTGTCCGTACTAGCGAACTTTTACAGCTACCTCAGTGAACTTCGCATTTCATATCACCGGTTTTAACTTTAAGTGCAACCCGGTCACATGAGGTTCGTCTAATAAACTACACACGTCGTTTCAAGTGACTAAACAAATCTGCCTTATACAAAAATATTTTACAAGGAAAAAAAAAAAAACTGTGAGAAATAATTCGGGGAAGGACAAACCGTTAAAAATATATTTATCACTCTACATATTTATGTGTAGACCCTATCTTTGTTTACAGCACATGCTCCAACACTTGTGAATTCGCTGCAGCATAAAAAACAAGAACGAAAACCTCGGCCTACAATCGACATAGTTACGATTCTTCTTTTTTTTATCTCTCCCAAAAGTCGTTTGCTTTCTTTTGGTCACTGCCTCTTTCAAAACAGCTACATATTAACTTTGATTCAGTGCAGTGGCGTAGCTAGGGTTGGTGTCACCTGGTGCGGTAAACTCATGGTGTCACCCCCCTCCCCCCCCCCCAAAAAAAAAAAAAAAAAAAAAAAAAAAAAA